GAGAGAGAGAGAGAGAGAGAGAGAGAGAGAGAGAGAGAGAGAGAGAGAGAGAGAGAGAGAGAGAGAGAGAGAGAGAGAGAGAGAGAGAGAGAGAGAGAGAGAGAGAGAGAGAGAGAGAGAGAGAGAGAGAGAGAATAGATCGGAAATGAATTGGTTTGGTCGGTTTGAGAAAGAGAAAAGCACAACTACCACAGATCGGAACAAGTGAGAGAGAGAGATTTAGAGAGAGAGATTTAGAGAGAGAGATTTAGAGAGAGAGATTTAGCGAGAGATTGAGCGATTTCGCACTTTCTTTCTTTCTCTGCTTTGTCGCTTCGTCAAAAAACTGTTTTTGGTGTTTGATGTTAAAACACATGTAAAAGATGAAGATCAGTCAATTCGGGCTTCGGGGTTCTCTCAGTATCGAGCAACGGGCAAATGTCTCACTGCCGTCTAGCGGGGAGACACATCACAATCACGGGCAGTCAGAACAAACCAAAGGCGCAAGGGAAAAAAACATAAAATAAAATACACCACACATACACCAACACTACAGTCAAGCTCGACGCAATCATCTCTTGTGCGTGTTGTTGCTTAAAAGCGACCAGATTCACGATAGGCTCGCGGAGAGCGCGATGCACGGCCTGGATAAGGTGGTGGTTGTTCATCTCGCTTCCAGTTGCTACCCATGCGATGATCATCTTGATCAAAGTCATCCAAGAAGATGGACTCTGTCGCGTCGGAAAGGGCTTCGACCGGCTGGGCACGTTGCTCCTCAAGCTCGTGAGCCTCAACACCTGCTGCACGCATCCCGCCTCGGCGTGCGCGCGTCTCAAACTTGCTTTGGCGCTTCAGGGTCAGTTCCTGGGCCAAAGCAATCTCTTTCTCCTCGCGCTCGGCGGCCTTGGCTGATTTGGCTCGCTTCGACCGGCGTTTGCGATTTTTTTGCAAGACGGGCTTGTAACCATATCGGCGAAAGTAGGTTGACACCTAGTCACCCGACGCGGTTTCAGACATGAGCACAGTCGCGGCCGCAGACAAGGTCAGAACGCATGCCTTTGATTGCTTCAATGGCAAAGGCATAAGGCGGCATAGGCGAGAGGCAGTGCACGATAGAGAAGCTCGTTGATGTAATTGCGGGCCGGCTCTGGGCTTACCTGAAGAGCCACGGGGATAAGCAACAGGGCACAGAACGAGCACATGGCCATGGCAAACCACCATGCATCAATTGCTTCCATACCAGTCTCACACACGGCCTCAGTCATAATGTCGTAGCTATAAGATAAACGCTGTACAGTTCCGCCATCCAGCCCCAACCCATGATGAAATGAGGTGCACTTTGCAGTGATGTGGTTGTTTGTGATGCTACCAGTCACTTCCCGCACGGGGCCATCAACTTACCGAGCAAGGACCAATCTCCGTCGTAATGACGGTGGTCAGAAGGTCGGCGTACGTAGTGACCAAGTCAAGGATATCATCCAAAACCGCAGCCTTGTCAATCAAGGTGTCGGCCAGCTCGTCAAAGTCGGCATCAAACGTAGCGACACCCTGAAAAGCAAAAGACACGCAGGACAAACAAAGTGATGAAAAGAAGCCCGAGTATGACACTATAAAAAAGCTCATGTCGAGACCCTGGAAGGACTGACATCGAGAAAGGCTTCAATATCATTCGGCAAGTTGGAGAGCGTAGTCTGCAAGGTTGTTGCGTTGGCCACCTGCAGGCGTGGATGTGCGCATGTAAGCTGTGCCAGACACAAACGGCCGCACGCACACGAAAACACCAAGCCCACATTTGCAGTTGCCTAGATGCAAAACAAAAAGCCCCTCCCGAACACCCCATGATCCGAATAGGCAACGTTGCGCAAATTGAAAACAAATTCATGCGCCCCGCAAGAAACAACTGCTTACAATGACTTGCTGAGTACTGGTTGCGGCGTTAGCCAGATCATCCAAGGCCCCAGCATCCGCAATCAAAGCCTGGCGTTGAGCAGCTAGTGAGCGTCTAGCATCAAGAACGTACGCTCAATCCATACGATCGGTGATACTCACGAGCAACTGAGTTTCCACAGAAGCAACATTGGGATCATTTCCATAATTTGCAAGCCAAGCTTGAACCTTGACGAGCGCCGAGTTCAGGCCGCCCGTGACTGGCGTCAAGACGGGCAAGTTGAGCGGCTGTCACCAACACCGAAAGAAAAACAGACGCGAGCACACCAAAACAACGTGAGAAACAATCAGCAAAACTAACAACAAACTACGTCGCCCCCCGCCCCCCTGATTGTGGCGTGAACGATTGTCTTGGCAAGGTAACTTTGCAAGTCGACGCCAGACGGGATGCTGGTTTCGAAACATACCACACCAAAGCCGGTCAAATTTCTTTCTTGCAAATCCAGGCCAAGGATATCCCGCAACTCATTGAGCGTATCATTGGTCACAATGTCCACATCGTCCAGCCGGATGGCTCCAAGTTGTGCTTCAAAGTCGACTTTAGTATCCTGATTTCCAAAAACAAGGCATGCGCCAACGGTGTCAAGGGGGTGAGCCAGTGAATGGTAAAGGATTCTCACTTTCAGCAAACCGAACAAAGCCGCGATGAACAAACTGTACCAGGGCTGTGAGCTCTGTAATGTTGGGTACGGTGGAACCATCGCTCTCATCCAACAGCAACGCAGTCCAGATCGCCGTATTGTTGCGGCATGAATTTAAGACACCTGCAACGGTCAGCTCAAGCTGACCGTTGCCCAAAAGCTACACAGTACCATGCAGGCCCAAGGGTGATCATGTGAGGTGAAGCAATGTGATTCGTAACACCCCTCCTCACAAAGCGATGACAAACCGCTTCAGCCAAAGGATACTTGAGGTCCCAATTGGCAGGATTGTCGACCACCTGCAGCACGGAGAAGGAGAACGTTAGCAACGGGCAACAGCAATGACGCACATGGAGGCTTGGCCCACCTGTGCAATAATTGAATCATCGTTAACACTTTCGCAGGTTTTGCCGGTCAACATGGCCACCAAGATCAGGACTGCCAAAACAAGATTGAGCAGCGTCACGAATATGGCTGCTAAGCCAATGCTGGCAAGAAGGAGCTGGCCAGCGGAATTTGTGCTACCAATTCGAAAATGAAAACACAGCGTAAGAGAGAAGGGCGTGAGGGCAGGGTGGCCGTATTCATGCACAACCAGCTCATTATGAGCACAATTTGCCGTGCTCATTCGTGCATAGTTAAGTACACACCAACAAGACCGTTCGGCCGGGTGGTCAATGTCGCGTACTGTCCACATGCCACAGAGCGAGCCCAGCAGCGCGAGGCATGCACACAAGATGAACATGCTAGCTACACCAACGGAGAAATAAAAACGATAGGTCTACATGTACACACAAAATGAGCCATAGGCACGGCGTTCAGCTTGAGCGTGGCGCGCATCGAGAATGACATGCGATGCAAGACTATTTCGCGCGTCGTACCGTGGCCATGCCCAGAGTTGTCTGTTCGTCCTCTGGGTCTAAAGTGTCTCGCACCATATCCTTTGTGCCATTAACATCCAGTTCCTATAATGTGAACAATGAATCAGCCAGCATAACGGCGGGCGCCGACGTCGCCGTATCCACAGCGCGGCTGTTTTACGCATCAGCGGCACAACGCACGTTATAGATTGCATCGTCTGATTGGCGAATCAAGTCATCAATCTGTTCGGTCAAGTCGGCCTGGATGGTGTCCAACTACAGGAGACAGCGAAAAAACGGCCGTGAATGCGACCCTTGGAAGTAATGTTCCGTCGAGGAATGCAGAGCACCGACAAAGCTCTCAACGATCGCAATCAGTGGCGTACCTCACGCTCGATACTATCAATGGCGTCGACTGTACGATTATCAGCAATTTCTGGAATTTCTGCAAAGCGCGCCTCGCCTTCATTGGCTGCAGTAGCCAGGTCTTGCGCAGCTGCATCGCCCAAATCCGTCACCAACGCATCGACATTGGGAAGACTGCTCACGTCCAGTAATGATACGGCTGCTGCGTAGCCTGTCAAAATATCGGCACACGCACTCTCAAGGTCCGTTCGCTGAGCACCGGCAAACAGTGCCTAGAGGTATATAGGGTCAACAGCGGGCGTGAGTCGCAGGTTGACGCGACACCGTCTAGATGTATACTTTCTTGCGAGGTTATTGTCGCTCTCTGAAACGCGAGCATCTGCCTCACCGCCGCGTTCTCGCAATCTGTTTGCGTCGAGTCAGAGTTCGAATCGAGGCTTGTAATATCCGCAGAGTAATTGGCTAGCTGCCAAGAAAGCGTCTGCGTGCCTGTTTGAACGGCGACCGCACTGCAACGATGCACGGAAACGAAGTCAGCATGACGGAAAAGGTTCGCACAACAGGCAGTGGACGCAATGTGGGTGCGGGTAGGCTCGAAAGAGACACGAACAGCTGATAAGCTTCAAGGATGGCTTCCGCCAGGGTGCGAAGCGTGTCGAGGATGTTATCCTTGCCGCTGCGGGTCAAATCTTGCAACACAAGCGAGGCGTCGGCGTTGAGGTTGTCTAAAATCTTGATCAACGCCTCTTTCGCGACTAAACATCAGCAATCACAGCCTGTGAGGTTCAGGGAGCGTTTCATGGCGACCAAAGCTCTTGGGCTGCGCAGGAATGCAAGCCAGCCTGACCTGGAAACACTGTCGAGGGAATGCTGGCCATTTGTTCAATGGTCTCGTCAGAGTACAGTACCAAGTTGTCCATGGATTCCAAAGTGGCATCGCGCACCGTAGTCACGCCCTAATCAACGGGAAACAGAACGCCAAGGGTCGCTGAGATTCGCAAACAGATTCACGGAAGAAAAAAAAAAAAAAGGAAAAGAAAAAAGAAAAAAAAGGCCAAGGCGAGCCAGGTTTGCGATGGCCACTCATGATACAAACACCTACATTTGTCATTTGAGTGTCACTAAAGATAATCAAGCTGGCAAATGCAACCATCACCAAACAGATGCACACGAGAAATGTGTTCCAAATCTGCAAACATCATTGCGTGGATATCCATTGAGCTTGAAAGACTGACACGTACATGCACACCGCCCCCTCACACTTGAGAAGAGGCATGGGCAGGCCATGTCCTACCAAGCAAGAAGTCCGCGAAACATAAACGATATCTTCTTCGTAGGCTTCAGCATCCAAGAGTTGGTCCGCAGTGGGTAGGGGAAAACCGACACCACAGCGATTCTTGCAGCAGAGACAAGCGCAACAACGGCAGCAGCGGCAGCAACGGCAGCAGCAAACCACCAACATATAGACGGGAAGGACCAAAAAGAGGAGTAGACTGCAACGTGGTTGATGGTCAGTCAAGGCAATTTCAGTTGGAAAAAGGGGGGAGGGGGAACACAATGAAAGAAACCGTCTGACGTACCTAACAGCTACCATGACGATATAGCCCATGCCCCAGTCGATGGCATCGTCTTGTGCACGGGACATGTCAAACTCGCCCGTTTCGCGTTGAACTTGAATCTGGTAATTGATCGACGCAAACGGCAGGGCTTCAGGCTGCAGGGTGTCACGCCACATGGCAGCACCAAGCGCCAGTCGCTGCTCGAAGCCAAAAAGCAAGGTTATGTCATTGAGACTGGAGCAAGATGACTCAATATGGACATGGAGAGCTTCCAGGACAAATGAATCCAGACGTGAGTATCCTAGAATCAACCTGCCTTGAAACCTTGCTCCGCAAGGGAAATGGAAGTCTCGTTGAGGTCTGTCGTATCCGGGGGTTCGGGGATCTGAATATGGGTCGAAGGGTCATCGGGGGCCCGAAAAATGTCGAAGACCTGAACTGTTAAAATCAAGTCCAAGCAAGTTTCTGTTGGCCCAATCGACAATACTGCTGATGAGAAAAGTACAAGAACAAGCTCGATGCCTTCTCCGCCTTGAGACTTGACATCATCAACGAGGAATGCGAAAAAAATGTACCAAGTGTGAAGGTGGGACATGGAATATATGTGGGTCCGGCGGTGGGAAAGCGGGTGGCATCTGCTGCATTGGCGTCAGCTCCGCTGGTACACGTCTGCAAGACGACGAGACGTTAGGGAAAGCAAGCTGCTCAGGCTGGTGCTGTGCTCTAGCATTGATTGCAGAGGGGACAGAGGCAGCCAGCAAACTTACCGGTCCACCCGTGGTGATGCACACCGAGTCATTTTGAAAGGTAAAACAACCAATCTCGCCTGTCGCAACGCCACCGGAAGTCCCATCGGTGGAGCAGAGGCAAGGATCCGGGTTGGTGCAAGTAGCTGTGACGACAGGAAAGACCAACAATGAGTCGGGCGGCCGACGGGGCTGTGAATCTGTGGCCGAAAACAGCGCATATGCGCAAAAACAAAAAACAAAAACAAAAAACAAAAAACAACAAAAAAAAAAAAAAAAAACCAGAAACGAAAAGACTGACTGTTTTCAAACTGGGCCTGTAGTTCAGAGAACAGGATGGTGCGGTTGCGCGCTGTCAAGGGCGATGCCATTTCATCAACAACGCCATAGGTGATATTGACGAGGTACTGGCCCAAGTTGGCCTATGCACGACAAAGGCACGGCATGATACGCAGCGAATCAATAAAGGGCGTGCAAGGTGGTACGTTGATACCCGCTGTGGGAAAGAGCGGGTGACATGGGTCCCTTTGTCCAATTGTGGCAAGATCTTACAGAGTAGACCTCAACGCGGCGGCTGATGCGTATGGCGGTGTCGTTCACACTGTGAAGTTGGGCGAGGCCCGATCGCAGAGAGAGTTCCATCGATAGGAGCTGATACTTGCGGAGGCCAATGACGGTGATGATTAAATTGTCTTGGGCAGTCATGTCCTGGCACAGGGGTTGCGACGTCGGCGTGGCTGCAGCCACCTGGTAGACGTGACGTCTGAAGTAAGATATGCAGTGGCTCATGTCACTGGAAAGGACGGATCAAGTGGGAAAGACTACAAGTGCACACGGGATGCACCCAGTTGTACAGACCTCATATTCCGAGTAAGACGAGCATGGACGGAGGCGCTGGCATTCGCGAGCCACGGTGGCCGTCATGTTGACCACCTGCACTTGACCAGAGGTACATGTTCCGTTTGGCAGAATAGCACCAACGGCGAGAAGGGCACCAGATCCATCCACTACGGCCATGCCACGGCCTGACCGTATGCCAGGAGTTGCATGAAAGATGACCAGGAGAAATAACAAGGTGAAAGGGGAGGGGGTGGCAAGGACGGGGGAAGACGGGGTAAGAGGCAAGAAGAAGAAGAAGAAGAAGGACGTGCAGCTCTTTCGAGTGAATACACACCCTGCAAGCGGGAGGTGCCCTGGAGGGGAAGAAAGGCATCGGTCAAGGTGGTGGCAAGCGTGGTGGCGCTGAGGTCGAGTGCAGCTTGCCGTTCCGAGAGTGCACCAAATTGACACGTGCTGGCATCGCCTGTGGCACAGCCTATGATAGCCATAAAGCGTGTGAGGACAGCGCAACATTCCCTGGCAACCGATAGGAGAGCTATGGCGTGAGGCAAACAGGCCGGCCGATTTTACCCGTGTTGATATCTGCTTGGCTTGGGTTGAAGAGCGTGGCACCCAAATCGGTGCAGAGAACAGGAAAGGGAGTGATTAAGAAGGCGGAGGCTGTCGCCGGCATGCCTGCCCAGGCGACCTAAGAGAGCGCGACCAAGAGAAATGGTCAGCTGCTGCCAGCTGCTGCTGGAATGTTACACCAGTCATAGATGTTTGAAGCACCGACCAGGATGAAGCGTACCGTCACGTTTGTTGGGGCTTCATCGATCTGTGTCAAGTTGAGCTGGCCCAGCGGTGATGAGTCTGAACAGAGAACAAGATCTGAGCTGGCCGTCCAGGTTGCTGCCTGCACGAAACCTCTGCAAAAGAGCAGGGCCAGGAGCACCCGAAAGAGGTGCGAGCCGCCGCAGAGCATTGGGGCTGGTAGAAGCGCGGGGGCCAGCCTGCTATCAGACGCGAGTGCGCGCCTGCGTTACCCCCGCAGAATTCGCATCGACGAGCAGGCCAAAAATCGGGACCAGACGCAGACAGCTGGACGGACGGGACACCCTCAAGCCAGACTCTGAAGCGGGGCGCGCCATGAAACACGCAAGCACGCTCTACCATGAAAAATCACAGAACTGACAGCCACCAAGGAGCAACAGCATGCCACATCCAGGCCCAATTCGACACAACACCCTGCTCGCTACTTCCGAGGCACAGGCATCCATCAGCTCCCAGGACTTCAAAGGCACGCAGGGTCAAACAGATCCCCGCGCCCCCCAGCTCAAAAGGGAAAAAACACTGCCCAAAAGGCAGAAAGGGGTGGGTGGCGTCAAGGACCAATTTTATCTGACAACAGATCCTTACATCAAAAGAAGAAGAACAAGAAGTAAAATACTACATGTAAATGAAAAAAAGGCGAGAGATTTTGAGAGAGAGAGAGAGAGAGAGAGAGAGAGAGAGATTTTGAGAGAGAGATTTTGAGAGAGAGAGAGAGAGAGAGAGATTTTGAGAGAGAGAGAGAGATTTTGAGAGAGAGAGAGAGAGAGAGAGAGAGAGAGAGCGTGTGTGCGTGTGTGTGTGTGTGTGTGGTAACAGTTTACGAACGAGCTGGCGCCCGACGAGCCACCTGCTCACAATGCAGGCCAGCAAGGATCCCCCGCGGCCACGGCCCCTGGAGATGGGCGTGCGTATTATCGCTCTTTCGATGCCTGATTGATCAGTCTGCTGTTACGACTGTTGAATTCTCCATCCTGGGTCCAAGGGCTGATCTCCTTCTTCTTTTTTTGGACCTTTTTAGGCCAAAATGAAGATCCTCAAGGATATCAACGTCGAAACCGTGGATGGATGCCGGCTGCGTGTTGCCATGCGTGATGGCACAATACGTACGTGACAACTCTTTGCCACAATGGCTCGCCACTCGATCGAGGTCAGACTTGATTGATACCGAGCGCTCCCTTTTAACGTGATTGTGGCACACTCGGTCGGCACAGACGAAGCAGAGGTCCTGGCTCACAAGGAAACCAAGTCTGGCCGCAAATACTATGTCCACTATTCAGAATGTGGGTTGTCGTTTGGCCATTCATCCCAAACAGTTTATTCGTCCCGGGACCTGCCATTTGATCTCTGATCGGATGCGTGTTGGTATTTGTCTCGCAACTGTTAGTCAACAAGCGGCTGGACGAGTGGGTCACGGAAGACCGCCTCAACTTTGATACCATCAGCGCTCCGGTGCCCAAGGAAGAGCGAAAAGCCCCAAAAGGCGCCTCCAAGCGCACCAAAAAAAAGAAAAGCGGCGGAGATAAAGGCGCTGGAACCAAAGGCGGCGAACCCCCCGTACGCCTTTTGCCTCTCCTTATGTCTGCTCCGTTCTCGACGCCTGTGCAATGAGGCCCTATTTTTTTAACCTGGTCTCATTTTTTCTGCTCGCTTCATTGCTCTACCTTTCCTCTTCCTTTTTTGGCCGGTTAGACCAAAGAGAGCAAACGCGATGATTCCAATAAACGTGGCAGTCTCCGCACGGTCTGTCAGCGCCTCTCTAAATTCAAGTGTGGGACCCCTCTCCCTCCCTCCCCCTTCCTTTTTCTTGGCGAGCTCATCCAAAGCCTATTGGCTCGTGTATAGCCCGGCCACGATGACGTCGTGCTTCGTATGAAAAACATCGAGGTACGCCTTGTGCCAACGGCTCGACTAGTTTGACGCGCCCTCGCACGAGGCTTGATCTTCGCCCTTGCTCATGTCGAGTAGATGATTGAGATGGGCAACAACCGCATTGCCCCGTGGTACTTTTCCCCCTACCCAGAGGTACGCTTTGTGGGGTCAGGCCAGTCACCTTGCGGCCAGTTGTGCAGCCACCGTACCAGCCTCATTTTTGATCATGTGCGCATTCCCTGAACTCGCAGTGCTTTACTACCGTCGATATTATGTACATTTGTGAAACTTGTCTCAAGTTCAGTCGCAGCGAGACCACGTATCGACGTCACAAGGTCCGGTCACCCATTTCCCTTCTGCTCTGCCATTTGCTCAAGCTTTGGGACTCTCTTTCTCTGATAAGTGGCATGCCGAGGGCTCCTAACGCACTCTGTGTTGACATTGCAGGCAAAGTGCAAACTGCGTCACCCGCCTGGTACTGAAATCTACCGTAAGGACGGGATTCAATTCTTTGAGCTCGATGGCCGCAAACAACGCGTACGTTCCAAATGGGATCCTTGCTGATCAAGCCGTACCCATCGCTCTCACGTGCTCAATCGGCCATCGCTGTTCTTCACGCGTTTTAGGACTACTGTCAGAACCTCTGCCTCCTATCCAAGCTCTTTCTTGATCATAAGGTGTGTTTGTGTTGAGCATTTTTTGGTTTTATAAAGTCGAGGCTGATTGTGGTTTTTTGATGCCACTTGCAGACGCTGCAATACGACACAGACCCCTTTCTGTTCTACGTCATGTGCAGTCTGGATGAGCGGGGCAGTCACATCGTGGGGTACTTCTCCAAGGAGAAGGAATCAGAACAAGAATACAACGTCGCCTGCATCCTGACCCTGCCCCAATATCAGCGCATGGTTTGTATCCGTGCCCAACGTCGTCGCATCCACGAGCCCCCAAGCCGATTCGTTTGTCTCACCTTGCTTCCCGATTGGTCGTACATTATTGGTCGTGAATTGTCACTTATGTAGGGCTACGGCACCATCCTCATTGAATTTAGTACGAGCCCCTCAGCCGACATTGCTCGTTGCCCTACTTGTGCTGGGAAGGAAGGGTGTGGACCCACCAGCATCATGTTGACACTGCATTGCTTTTGGTGGCAGGTTATGCGCTGTCACAGGAGGAGCACAAGACTGGTTCGCCTGAGAAGCCACTCTCTGATCTAGGTCTTTTGAGTTACCGCAAATACTGGTCTCAGGCCATCGTCGAAGTGCTGCGAGATGTCAAGGAGGACATTTCCATTAATGACATTGCTGATCGCACCAGCATCAAAGTGGAGGACATTATTTCCACGCTCCAGCATTTGAGCATGATCAAGTACTACAAGGTAAACCTCCAAGGCTACTTGGACAGACGTCTCTCGTTGGTGAAGCCTAGCTGTTTCCTGACAATTTGCTCAATCCTCCCCTCTCTCCTGCCCGGTCGTCTTCTTTGACTTGACACAGGGCAAGAATTGCTTGGTGTTGACCCCGGAGATGTTGACGGTTTGTTTTTGGCGCCACAGGCTTGAAGACATGCGTCGTCTTGGCCTCGATTACAGAGGTTCATTTTTTTTCCCCTCCCACATCCTCTTGTTTTTCCTTTGCGCTAGGAGCATGACAAGGCCATGAAAAAGCGTCGCATTCGCATCGATCCCAAGTTCTTAAAGTGGACCCCGACTGACTGGACTTCGGGCTGGTAGTGGTCGCTGTCCAGCCGCCGACATTCTACTTACCCCTCGCGGCCGCAAAGCTGTGCTCTATGCAGCAGCGTGTGCCATGGAGAAAAAGCAAAGCTGGAGAATTCAGGCCAACAGCTCACCTGCTGCCCCTGTCATAGCAAACTCTTCATAGACGTCAAAAATTGACTGTGCGTCAATTGTCACTTCCGCACAAGATGTCTTTTCCAGCACAAGCACACACAGAGACACACGCTCTCAGAAACCAATTCAATGATCCATGTGCAAAGATTTGCCACACGCCGCCGAATCAAGATTTTCTCGTTTCTTTATCTTTCTCTCTCTCTCTCTCTGTCTCTGCATGATGTAGCCATTGTTTGTGTCCCTCTTGTACAGTGTACCGGCCTTGTATTTGTGTTTGAGTTCTTAACATGTAAGCGACCCGTTTCGGATCGGATCACCAATTTCTATCGTCAATTGTGACCTTGCTTGTTGGTACCATGGGCACAGCCTGACATCGATGGGCATCAAAGCTGCCAAAACCCAATGCGCTTCCAATCTCTGGTGCGCTTTGCTACAGATCAGCTGGGTCATGTGCAGGAGGTGCCAGGCGCTGGTCTAGCAGGCGCTCGAGGGCTCTCCGACTGGCCTCACCCAGGACCACCTCGGGTGCACCCACGCCACGCTGATCAGGTTGGACGTCCACAGCCACGTACTGCAGATCCAGTGCCGCAGCCATGTGCTCATAGTGCCGGGTCGTGTTGCGCGGGATGGTCAGCTCAACGAGCGTGGCACCTGGTCGGCTGAATAGAACATTGGCCAAGGCACCACCGTGCACACCCAACACCATCTATGATCATCGCATTCGAGCCCACACAACCGTCTATGAGTGGGGATTCAAAGGTGTGATGGCGGAGTGGCCAAACGCTCGCACCCACCTCGGCGCTCTTGAACAATTCAATCGTGTCTGTCAATGTATAGTCGCGGCTTTTGTAGGTTACAAAATCAACATGGCCGTACCGCTGGGCCAGCTTGGCCCAAAGCTGGCTCTCGTCGCGTAATTGACGCATTTTGGCGTTCTGGTTGCACATGGGGTGAGAATCTGCAAATTTGGACCCGAAATATGAAGCCCATCAAGTCTAGCCTCACCTCGCGAGACGCAATCACGACCCGGGGGCGACTCAGCGGTGTTTGCTGCAGCTTCTGGGCCAGCGTCGCAGCTTGCCAGAAAGAAGTTCGCGCTGCTCGTAAAAGAGGCCTATGCAGGCGCACACGATACGACGATAACAAGTGAAGGGGCAGTCGCGAGAAGCCTTTTTTTTTTTTTTCGAGGAATGAGAGTCAGGGCTAGAGCGGTGCCGTACCGCGGGGTGAGGGCATGATGGATATCCGTAGAGTCAGGTGTCAGGAGCGCTGGCTGCCAGTCCAAAAAGTACAGTTCAGAAATCTATTCCCCGCCAGAAGCATAGAATAGCCACACAACATGATGTAAACACTGCCAGTTCCAGCAAAGGATGCACAAATTCAAGTGGGCGGGGTTTGAAAAAAAGCGACGCACCTTCAGCACTGCGTCTGGTGGAGCTTTAACCGTGTTGTAGCGCACGGTGTCCTTCCCCGCCTTGAGTTTCAGGAGCGCCAAGGCCTCGGAGATGAAGCCGGTCTCGCCTTTAGGGTCAGCAGGAACAATCACGGCTGCATCCTGCCCCAACCGGCGTGTTCAAAGCCGGGTTGTAGCACATGGGGTGAGCGCAGCGCTGGCTGAGCGCTTGTCGGCGTGTAATTCGAAGATGATCTTTGACGGTGGGCATACCGGGTGATAGTGGCGCAACGCAAGCACGCGTGGCACGACATCTGTCAGAAAGTGATAAAAAGAACGCGAGGCAGTTGACAGAGCTGACGAAGCAGTCGCCTTTCGGCGCAGCTGGTGCGGGTTTTTTCCATGGGCGGGCCGCGCGCCTCTGTAGTAATCAAGCCATGGTGCCTACAAGCGCCAGTAGCAGAGGCGCATGAGAGGTGTGATAGCATCTGCATACAATTGCAACACCAGTGTGTGCACCAACCCGTTCCGACTCGATTCGGCTCCAGTCAAAATCCGGTGGTGCCTGCTCGGCCATAACGAGCTGCAAGTTGCTTCCCAAATCTTGAAAGTAGCCTGCACGCACCAGGCCAGCAACACCCACCAATTTTGATCAATGGGGGGCGTTTGGAACGGACATTTGATCGCAAGTTGGCGTGAGGGCAGCGAACTTACCCGTATTTGCTTCCCAAAGCACGCAGCGACCGTGCGTTTCCTGGCTTAGCTGGCCATCCGGTCCCGCCACGTAGACTTCAGGCGCAGTAACAAGGGTAACGCGCGTTGAAGAAAAAGCACTGTGCTCTTCCACCACGTTGCCATCGTGTGTGATGCGCGTCAACTGCACGGCATAGCTATGGTGCCCGGTCCAAAGCATGGCCACCGTGCGTGATGAACGACAGGAAGCCGAATATACGAGCATTCAAGCGGAAGAAAGGGACAAAAAAAGCTGCAAGCCGCGCACCTTTCAGGCTGATGAATTGTATCGAGTTGGGTCACGGTGCTGGCTGCAAGGGGGCTGTCCGCATGGATGAGGGAGGCCTTGCTGCAGTGCCGGCCCAAAACCTGGCGCGCAGCTTGCCAGTCGCGCAGAAAGTGTTGTTGTTCCTGCAGGTCAGAGCCTCGCCAACGTGTGGCGAACACAAGGACAAGGGGCACCGTTAGTCTGGTGCACCCAAGCATTGGGTGATGGGCTTCTCAAGAGTTGATCGCACAGCTGCGCGATCGGCAGAATGAGGGGCACCAAGTGGGTTCAAGTCAGACCTGGCGCAGCAAGGCATGGGCCTCGGATTCATGCTCTCCACCCAGCATGAGCAGCATCGTGGCCTTTTCACGTAGCAGCATTGGGGAGAAGCGCAACGCAAGTTGCTGATCGACAAGGGAGACGGCAGCTGAAATGTTGCCCTGTCAAAAAGGGCAAAAGCATTCCACCCATGACGTTTGAATGCTCGTGGAGAGCCTACACAGCCGAGGGGGGCGTCGAGCGTTTGGGGTGTGGAGGCACGAGAGACTGTCTTACTTTGCCCTGGTCGTAGACGCGGTCACGTTCCACGCTGACCTTTCCGTACCGTGCGTCAAGCAGGCGGTGTTGCAGCATTTGACGCTGTTGTACGTCTTGCGGGCCCAAGAGCTGGAGGGCCCGCTCCCAGACGACGATGGCCTCATCGAACCTACGTGTCGCACTCGGCGTGAGGCTCAGTTCGCTTCGGGATATACAGAGCTGTGAGGCACAAGGGGTATACAGAGCTTTGAGGCACAGGGGGTACGAGTGTGACACACTGTTGTGTATTTGTTAGGAACACGGCCATGTTGGCATGTGCTTGGAGCTCGTCAGGCGCGAGCTGCACCGCTTGAGCATATGCGGCCTCTGCTTGCTGCACTCAGATCAGAAGAACGAATACAGGAGTAGCAGTTGTGAGAAGTCTGCCCTGAGACCTTTGCTGCTGGAAAAATTGATTGGGAGACAATGGCAGGCGTGCATTGCGTCTTTCCTTACACGGGCAGCTCCAGCAGCAGCTTCATGATCACCGGTGTTGTGCAGCCGTGCCGATTGCTGGGCGTGCACAATAATCTGCTGGGCCAGTTCATCATAGCTGGTGGCGCCCGCACCTTTGAGGCTTCCACACAACAGCAATAAAATCACGCTCAACCAAGGCTTAAGTACCATGCCTGGCCGTTGATGTTGGTCTCGGTGTACGCCCCCTCTGCGCAGCGTTCCGGTGGCACCATCGATCGATCCCTTGACACACACACACTCTCTCTCGCACACCGGGACCTGTCCGCACTTGGCTGATCGTGAAGGATAAATGTGAACTTCATTACACTTTGAGGACATAAAGTGTGTATATTGTCACTCTATCGCTTACGAGGATCGGCCCCTCGCTCGCTCTCCCCGCTTTCTCATTTGCGCGCGGTTTCACACATGAGCAGCCGATGATGGTACCTCGAACGTCAGGGCATGGCCCGGCGAGCACGGGAGGGGAGGAGGACGAGCTGTTGGTGTTTGGATATGGCAGTACGCTGTTTGAGGCAACCCCGCGTGTTGTGCAGAGCATCAACGAGGGACATAGCCTGATAGGATGGCTTGACAGAGACGATGTCACTTTGGACCGATATGATGCACGGCTGTTGGTGGACGACTACCAGGTGATTCGCAAGCAAAAGCGGTGCGTAGTCGATCAGCAATCTCTTCAGACCGGACACGAGCTTGCTTGTTTGCCTTTTGGTGTTTTCCCTCCGTCCGCTTATGAGGCCTGTTTTAGCTTTGCACCTGCGTCATTTACTCGCGATCAGATTCGTGAAGAGTTTATGTGTTTTGTCGAGCGCTACCGTGACCTGCCCATCGAGAATGTATTCTTATCTACACCTCTGTATGAAGGTTGGTAGCTTTTCGTGCTATTTACACACCGCTGGAGACACGGCACGGCCAACTTTTGTCTTGCACTCTTTTCAAATATGATGTCCCAGGCCCAACTCATGTGACTCGCGACTATTGTGCTTCATCTCGAACACAACTCAAACAGATGCGCAACGCAAGGCATCTCCCAACCAACGGTTGGCCTTTATGATTGCAGAACAGCCAACCTTGCACAAGCGACATCATGATACCAATCGCGATGCATCTGGAAACGCCCGCAATCGGTCACAGGGTGTTCGAGGTCAGAGCCGCCAAACGCGCATTGATTTGCAGGGCCGACCCAGCACGCGCCCGCAAGCTGGCAATGGTGTGGGTGCCGCCATTGCGCCACCCGAACAGCTGCGACAAGCCGATGCCAACACTGCTTCGCTTGCAAAGGATTCGAGCACACCAGCTGAGGAACCGTCCAAAGTAGAGGACTTGGATCTGGCCGCGCCACCTGAGGACCTGGCTTTGCCGGAGTGTGTGGCTCATTTAGCAGCACCAGCTCGGCCTCACACCCAACGCCAGCTCGAAGTCATTGAGCGAACCACAAAGTTCCTACTGAATAATCCACCCCAAATGGAGATTGTCATGCGGTCAAAGCAAAGCCGCAATCCCTGGATGCAGTTTCTCAACATGAAGCATCGCTTGTATAATTTCTATGTGACGCTCAAACTTCATTTGAAGGACGCCCCCGAAGAGACGAAAGAGACGACGACAACAACCCCAGCTTCAGGAGAAACCACAGCTGCTGCTGCTGCCGAAGTCAAGCCAGCAACTGCATCCACTGACGCCAGCAGGTCCAACCCGCCCTCTAAGCGCCCGCGTCGCTGGGACCAGCGCCCTGACTCGGCTTGACGGAGAGGCCTCATGCACCTGATTTTGATTATAAATTGAAATTCAAAAAAGACGACTTTTGAGCCACACGCTTATTTAGTCAATGTTGCAGCTTGGCGTAGAGCATCGATAAATCCGTCAATGTCCTCGGCGGTGGTGTCACGGCCCACGCTGCACCGGATGGCTTTGAGAGCTAAGCGGAAGAATAGAGGGGAGGGGCAGATTAGCTCCCGTACTCGTGTGTGGACGAGTACGTGTGTGGATTCAAACAGATCATCAGAAGCGAGCGCACAGCTACGAACCAATTTCGGGAGGCACGCCCGAGGCGAGCAGAACGTGTGATGGTCTACCATACGAAACAGGTGCACCTCGTGATTACAACAACCACAGGCATGTGTGCTGACCGTGTGCTGCGGGGCTTGGGAAGTATACCTTCTGCCAAGATGGGAATGGCACGCACTGCCCACGGACGCCATGATGCCAGCCTTGGCCAAAAGATCTGCTCCCGTCAAGTCTGCACAAAAGGCAAGCAACACACATGAGCCATGCGGTGCAATAGTCTGTTCACGTGCTGTCACACCATTGCGCCATGCGGACCAGAGTTGAGAAGAGAAAAGTTTAGCGTATTGCACAGGCGAGGCGTATCCTCGTGCACTCCATTCAAATGCACCTGTTCCGAGCCAAAGGCCTGCTGCATACAGCCACCCCCAATGAGTACAAGCGTGGAGACGGAGCTGCAAGTGTTTAGACAGGCCGCATCTGCTTACCTTCAAACCAGAATAGAGGCGATTTTGCATCGCTTCCATATGGGCTTGATGGGCCGCCAGGTTCTCTCGTACGACCGCAGCCCCCTGCCCATTGAAATTTTCGACAGCTCGTGAGAATGAACGGTGAATGCCAATATCGTGCAGGGCCAGCCAGCAACTGCAGGTGGCTGGGGCAAATGCATACCTGGCCCAAACCCACAATCATTGGGGTGTTCTCGGTGCCAGGCCTATCGCCCGCCTCTTGGCCTCCTCCATATAGGCTCGCGCGGATGCGGTACCAATCGCTGCCACTGGTCTGAACATTGCTGGAGTTTTCTTGCACAGGCGCTCCTCGTGTCCGCACGAACAAGGCACCGATCCGGGGTGCATAGAACTTGTGACCCACGATGGTCAGCGCATCAACTTTCAAGGCAGCAACGTCCACGTCAAGCTTGCCGATGGCCTGTGCTGCGTCCGTGTGAAGGACAACGGGCTGCTCGCGCTCGCGGTTGATGTCTTCTAGCGCCGCTCCAACTTCGCCCACTGGCTGCAGTGCACCCGTCTCGTTGTTGGCCAGCATGAGAGTGATGAGACACGTGTTTGAACGGATGGCCGTCAATACATCGGTCACCAAAACACGACCATCCGACTGCACTGGTACCCAGGTCACGTCGATTGCTGCCTGAGCCTCGAGGTGCTGCAGGACGTTTTTCACCGAATCATGCTCCACGTTACTCGTGATGACGTGCGGCCGTTCCTGGGACTGTAGGCGCTGGGTGCTTTGGGCTACCACATCCTGGATCACCCAGTTGTTGGCCTCTGTACCACCGCTGGTGAATATGATCTGTTCTGGTCGGGTAGCGTGCACCATGTCCGCCACTTGCTGGCGGGCCTGCTGTATCATCTGCGGAGCAAGCAAGGCGGGGCGGGGGGCAGGGGCACAAACCCCTGGTCAGTGAGCAGCTGTGGCACACATGGGTCCAGCGGCATCCTTACCGCTTTTGCTTGTCGACCAGGTCCGTGCGCACTGGACGGGTTCCCCCAGCCATCCTGCAGGGCCTGGGTGATGGCGGCAATGACGCTGGGATCCAGCGGTGTGGTGGCATTGTAGTCAAAGTAGCGCTCCATCTTGACACGGGCCCCCTTTGCTTTGCACTTGGAAGAAGAGCATTAAAATGATGACATTTTGAAGTGTGTGTGTGTGTGTGTGTGTGTGTGTGTGTGTGTGGTGAATGAATTTGAGAGTTCGATTTGACGATGGCACACACACTACTGCGGAGTCAGGTTGCCGAGGCGAAAGATGAGGTCTTGTGGGGTAAGGGTGCTTAGGGGAGCAATGTATGCGTCTCGCAGGCGATCCAGCTCATCTTGGGCCAACGCTGCATGCGTCCTGTTGATTCAATCAAACGCATTCAAGTTTGGCACAAGTCAGGCTTAGCCGACACGTGCGTGTCCCAAAACAACCTTGAGCCAGCTCGACAAGATTGGCAGGTGTGACATACCGCGCCACCTCGTCCTGTTCCAAAGCCAAACTGCGTGCAACAAGCTCACGCACAGCGCGCAGCTCAGCTGCTAGTCGCTGTCACGCCCAGCAAATCGTCATGACGCTCAAGTGAAGACCAAGCCAGCTCCGAGGGGTGGTCGGGAGGCGACATGAGCGTACCGTCATGTCATCCGTTGTCAGAGAGCGCAAGCACACCACCAATATATTTAGTGCACCACGCCGCCGCTGTAACAACCGCAATCAAGTCATCAGACGTGCTCCTTGACCCACTCAGCAATGTTCGACAAACAACACCCACCTGCTCACTCTCGCTTTGCAGCAAATCCTCCACAAGCACCAAGATTTCGGTCAGGTACTTGGCCAAGCTGAAGCGCAAAAGCGCGCACATGTCGGCCAGATTGCTCAAGGCAGACGCAGCTACCAACTCATCGGCATCTTTGACGCGCTGCAAAGGCAAGTAGAAAGGGAAGAGTGAGACCAACACGTGCTTCAACAGCCTGCACGAGCTAGCATGATCATCAAGCATGTATTTTTACCAAAAGCGCTGCCGGCATGATTTGAGGCGCATATACGGGAAAAATCTACCAAGGGGAGCAACGGGAGCCACGGAATGAGTTATCTTGATCGCCCGATTCAAAATACCCTCGTGCTTCTTGGGAAAGGGGCATGCATGTACAAACCTGGCCCAAGAGACGGCAAACTTTGACCAAAACTTCTCCAACCTTCATCCGATATTCGGGGCTCATGCTCTTGGTCGCCCTGACCCACCAAAACATGATCATCATGAGAAGCACGGACTTTTCAGGCACACAGGGTGCAGGGCACGGACGTACCATTCCTGCAGTAGAGTGGCTATCATCGTCTTGGGTGTCATGGCCACCAAGTCTGCCAAGCCGTTCACAGCGGGTAGATACAGAAAGCTGTCCTCATGCTTGAGTTGAGATAGGTAGAGCCCGGCAAGAACGGTTGCGTGTGCTTGCGCCGTGTCCGGCTGAGGACATCACGCCCAGACGAGATGCTTCAGTGAGACGAGCGAGCAAAATCAAGTGGCAGAAGGTTCCTCAAGGGCTGGAAGACTGACATTGGCGGCGAGGAATTTGCGCATTTCGACCAGAGCATGCGCGCGCAGAGGAATTTGTGGTGCTGCTAGTTGTCCCGCCAACTCGTTGAGCTTCCCTGGCAAATGGACTGCATCGACAGCATGATGCTCTTCAGTAAGCCTTTGAAATAAGAGCAAGCCAGGACAATGCAGGGGTTGGGGTCGTCTTACGGTGTACGCCGGCATTGTCGGGGGTGTCCGTTGAGGATGGCGTGGAACCCAGCCCGGACCATCTGCACGTGAACCACAATAACCATGAGCAGTTGGCGTTGTCTTTTGACGGTGATGGGTTTGGTCGTCTTGATTGAGCGAGCCATTTCCACTTGGCATGTGGGCAAACCATACCGTGCCGCGCGCGTGACAATGGCTTGTCGCAACTCTTGGGCTTGGGCAAGCAAAGCTGCTTCGTTTTCCGGATCCTCGTTACCGAGTTGGGCTCCAACACCAGTGGGCGCCAACTGGTCCAGCTGGGCTGCCAATCGATCGAGGCTAGGCCAACAAGCTCGAGGCAGCTGTACCAAACCTACGGACGCTCGAGAGTGTGTCAGCTTACACGGCCCTCGACAGATTATACGCGGCGCAAGGGCATTGTAGCAACACGGTTCAGGCCTGACCACTCAGTAACAGTTCCAGCAGATTGAGCCCGACAGCACGCACATCCGGCAGCGGGATGGCAATGATCACTTCAATCAGCTGCAAGGTCTCTTCGGGAAGGCGCATCAAGTCGGCGCTGACGTCTTCCAGCAGGGCGTGAAGAGCGGCCACGGCACGGAACATGCCCTCCGCATCCTCGTCTACAAAGATTGCATTATGAAAGGCAACACAGGCAAGGGGGGCATAGAAAAGGGAGATTACAGTCAGGGCGGCAAGCGAGGGTAGCAACCTGATGTTGTGTGCTCTCTCAAGCGCTCAGCCAAAGCTGCCAAAATACGAAGTTTGAGCCGTTGGCGATGCGCAGCTCGGACTTGAGCCAAGATGAAATTGCAAAAGTCGTCGCGGTTAGGTGCCAAATCCTGGCCGGCTTGGATGACCATCTCACCCGCAAGCGTTCGCGTCACCTGTGGGCAAAGGCAACAGCGAGAGGATAATGTGAGCTCTCGGTTTAAGATCCTTTGCGGCTGCGCGGGCAGCAGATGACTCACATGTGCGCGGGGCATCAAGGGCTTGTCACAGAGCAAAGCTGCGCAGGTCGGCGCCAGGACATCCTGGGGACCAAGCTGTAGCAGCATGCCAAGCAGTTTGGTGGCGCCAGCAAGGCCTTTGTTGCTTTGTTCGACAAAGGCCAGGGCAGCAACGGCATCGAAGTGTGGCAACAGCAAACGGACAAATGGGGCTGGCTCGCGGCACAAGTCGACCAGTTGGGCCCAAAGACGTAGCTCTGCCGCCAAAGCATCGGCTTCATGCAAATGTTTCAAATCATCCGAGAGATTTTGGGTCAGCAGGGATTTTGCATTTTCTTTCTCAAGGAGGAGAAGGGTGGGCCAGAGTGCGTTGGCAATGGTGGGCTGCAGCACGTCCAAGTGTTGCTGTAATAGGTTGCCAAGCATCCCAAAGAGAGCGGCACTCACAACTGGGCGTGCGGCCTCTGGTTGCGTTTGAAGAAGCTCTAGCACTGTTGAAGGGGGGAGATAAGTCCAAGAGACAAGACAGGCGGACGACGTGGGTATGAGCACACAACCTCCAGTGACAGGCCGGTGCGAGACGGTAGCCACCTTGTGCAGCTATGGCCTGGGCATAATCCTTGGGTTTAAACATAGTTTGCTTGGGTATTGTGCAAATGATCATGATGGCACGATCCGCTTGATCGCGAGCCTAAAGCCCATGAGAGCGAAGATAAGAGGCAGGCTGACCATCATGAGGAAAACCAAGATACGATACCAAGGTTCTTGCGACTTCCACGCACCATGCTATCGTTGGCTTCCTCCATCAATAGGCGGCAGGCAGCCGCCACACCGCGAGGCCGGGCAAACTGAAGGGCTAAAAGGGTTCGCGCAGCGCGAGCCAGCCAGGTTGGACGTAGAGCCTCCTCTTCAGGCGTGGAGCTGAGCGGCAATGAGGTCGGAGGTCTCGGGGCTGGATCTGCCACGAGTAGGAGCAAGGCGTCAATGCTGGCACCAACAGGCAAGGCCTCCAGCAAGCGGCGCAATCTTTGAGAGTGTCGAGCGCGGTGTGGGTGGCGGCGAGCGGCGGGCTGGAAAGCAAGAGTCACGTTGAGGGCCAAGGTGGCGCGCACAAAGGCATCGGGGACCATGCGAATGGCAAAAGGGCCCCCTGTATTCAAAAGGTGCTGGAGAAAGCCAGTCAAGAAGGCAGTACGCTGACCCACAACCAGGCTCAGGCCGGGAATGGCGGCTTGGACAGGATGGCGAACGGCAAAGTGTGCAGCTGCCTCCGGCGGCAAGTAGGGCAGCACACCAAAGCGCAACAGCAGAAAGAAGGTGCGATGTGCCAGGTCAGCACGACGCTGCAGGGCCTCTGCTTCGTGTTGCAGCGCACTTGCCAGTGCTTGAGTAAGCCGCACCACAAAGCGCCACGTCACGACCGGGGCGTTGGCCTCCTCGCCCAGGGTTGCAGCTGCATCCCAGGAGGTGGCCACGTTATCCATGGCCGCTTGTAGGTCTTCCGGAATGTGCAAGGGCTCAGTCCGTTGTGGGATAGGCCCAGCCATATTCCCAACCTGGTCGCAAGTCGTGGCCTCTAGAACAGCAAGCGCTCGCACAAGCAGCACTTCGATGACGTCTCCCATGGTGACGGCTTCGGCTTGGCCAGCGGCAGTCTGCTGATCGGAGCCGAGGCCGGAACCAACGGGCGCGGCAGGGGCTGCGGGGTCATCGGTCTCCTGGCGCTGCTGGCGCTGTTCACGTGCCTTGACTAGGTCATCCAAGCTAGGCCCATCCTGAGCAGAGTCTGCATTCTCGCTCGTCAAGCCCGACAAGAGTCCATCATCCCCCTCATCACCTGCGTCTTCCAGCAACGCCAGCGCATGCTGCAGGCGCGAGACAGCCATCTTCAAAGTTCTCTTGTTCGGACCGCTCACGTTTCGCTCAATGCCCGCCTCACCGCCTCCTCACCAGCGCATCCAACCTATCTCCCGTCGCCTCCCCCTCGCCCCATCAACGCCCCATCTGCAAGCCGCTTGGTGGTCGCTAGAATCGCTCAACCAGCAGCTCAAAAAAAAAAAAAAAAAAAAAAAAAAAAAAAAAAAAAAAGACAAGTCTCGTCATTTGCACGATTTTTCTTACATTTTGCACCTCTCAAGTTACTCTCTTTCTCTCTTTCTCTCTCTGTCTCATTTCTCGGCACTTGCGCTGCTCTGCTCTCTGCGCACCACTTGGTCACTTGGTCACTTGGTCACTTGGTCACTTGGTCACTTGGTCACTTGGTCACTTGGTGCGTGCGTGGATTGGTGGGTATCAAGTCCTGGGTATATCGAGCACCAGCCCAGAATTTGTGTGGGGGCTGTGTCCGTGCGGGAGGCGGGCAGCGCCATGTGGTGGGGGCGGCGCGCGTTGCTCCAGCCCCAGGTGCAGGCGCGGCTTCCCCTTTTACTGGGCGTGGTAGGTGTGTTTCTCTTTCTTGGACTGATCACAGCGGTGACGGACCGCCCCTATGCATCCAATGCTGAACTGGGGTTGCACCCCTACAAGGCCATCGGGACCCGCTCCCTCCGTGTGCTCGTGGGCATGACCGTGGGAGGAAGCTGCATGTATCGCGTCGACACCCTCATCAAGCGATGGGGCACGGAGCACTTTCACTACATGCTTTTTCACTTTGACAAGGCTGATTGGGGGGATCTAGCCTACAACAATCGCCCCACCAACGCCGTCAAGCATTATCGCTACCAGTTTGGGCTCAAGATGACGCACTACAAGCGGCACATCACTCCCAAAGTCATGCAGGACTACGACTACTTTTTCTTGATTGACTGCGACACCGATCTGGAACACTTTGACGTCGACGCCTATCTCAAGATCGTGAACCGCTTCAACATACCCATCTCACAGCCGGCCGTCGCGCGGTCCAGCTTGTTGCGCCGTTCCAGTGACCATCGCACGTGTCGACATGTGCCTGGCCCACACTTTGGTCGTTGGACTTCCTTTGTCGAGAACGGGCCCGTCGCCGTGTTTTCTCGCACTGCCTGGGACTGCGTCTATGATCTGGTTCAAGGAGACCTGGGTTCGGGGTGGGGCATCGATTACAAGTGGTGCGCGTATGCGGCTGATCGGTGTCGTTTGGGGTACCGGGAGCGGCATGAACGGGCCGGCGGCAACTGGGGTCGCGTCTGCGCAGTTATTGATGCACAACAGGTGTACCACCTTGACGAGCGCAGTGCCTCGGAACTGTTTGGAGCGCGCTACCAAGTAAGGCTTCATTGCCCATGCCATGCTCTCCCTAGAAAGGGCGATTGGGCTCTTGGTGCCCAGCGCCAGGCACGCAAACCCGACGCTTTTGGATGTTCTGGGCCTTGCTCATCATTGCTTGCCGCTGATATGTTTTCCTTTTTTTTTTTTTTTTTTTTTTTTTTTTGGGGGGGGGGGGGTGATTGTAGCCGCGGCAGGATGCTTATGAGTTCGAGCGGCGCTTTCCCATGATCCAATCTACACGCAACGCCAATTGCATGTGCGCATGCGACGATCGAGATACCGTCATGACGGCGTTGCGGACCGTACTTCTGCAGGTAGGCCTTGCTTAAGCTCTTTCGGCGCAATCACGCCTGACCCTGCTGACGAGCTGTTCCACTTATGCTTGACGCGGCCTTGTTGGGTTATGCTGGGTAGATGCTGAGCATCTTTGGATACTGGGGATTCTTTCAGTGTGAATGTCGATTTTAGGTGCGGCTGTCGGGCTGCGTGTGGTCTCTCAAGACCAACTCTAGACCCTTCTTTGGGGCATGGATTCTAGTGAATTAAGACTGACTCAGTTCTTTCTCACATCATGCTGCTTAGCCATCATCAATTTGCAAGGTGGCTGCTTTTAAGGCACTGGCACAGTAGCACCACGGGCACGTTAACACAACATTACTAAGGGACCGTCCAACTGTGGCGTCCTTACGAGGGCGGAAGGAGAGGAGTCAAGGAAGAGAGCAACGGGAGCAGGCAGAGCCATGGGGCATGGGACTCCAGGCTCACAGCTTGGAAGCTAGTCAATCAAAATGGACAGGAATGTCACTGCCAAAGATGCCCTGAACAAATGAACGCACGTTGTCCTCGCCCTTGGCTGCGGGACGGGAGCGCGCCACTTCCTGCATTCGAGACACCTGCTCATCCGTGGGCTTTTCCGCCAAAATGCCTACGACCTGGCCGTCTCGGATCCAAATGGCACCGTATTGCTTGCCCTCCCTGCACAAGCCAAACGAGCAAGACCCACGACGGAGGAGTGATTGTTGGAAAAGCAAAGTAGGGCACGCTGCGCGCAAGGGCCCGGAAGCTTGGTCGGGCCATGCATGACACGGTGTCTGAAAGAGGAGCCGGAACTTACTCAAAATGGCCAAAGTGGACGACGTCGCCCTCATTGATGCCATATAGCTTCCAGTTGAAGTCGAAAATGCGCGAGTAGAAGTAGGGCAGGTAGTCGTAGCCACCCTTGCTCTGGCCTGTCAGCTCCGCCACGACGTGTTCGGCACTACGGCGGGCTGTGCGTGTACCAAGCGGTGAGTCCCACAACGATTATACGTGCATTGGCGCTCAAGATGGACCCGTGACTAGTGCCAACATACCGTTGACCACGTGCTCTTGGCGCTGGTACTTGCCTCCCTCCAGCTTGAGAGGGTAGGCTGCCACGTCACCGATGGCGTAAATGTTGGGGTCTGACGTCTGCAGGTGCTCAGAAACCTTGAGACCACCGGCTTCCATGTCCAGCTGATCCTTGAAGAGCTCCACAACTGGGCGTGCACCAATGCCCGCTACAATCAGATCACCAGAGACCCTATGTTCCAGATTTGGTGAGGTGGTGCAAAGCACGCCATACATTGTTACATTGGCCAGTCGTGGAAAGACACGGCAGCAGCGAGCGATGGCAGGATTATGCGTTTAGAGAACATACACGGTGCCATCCTTGAGTTCGAGGCCACGAATCTCGTTGTTGTCGCCGTACACAACCTTGTTGGCCATGCCGTGCACCAGCTGGAGTGGACGAGATGCGCACATCCGGGGTGAATTTGCGCATGGATGATGAATATTTCACCACACGTACGGTGGAGTTTCAAAAGCGTGTACGCACCTCAGCACCCTTGGACTCAAACGTCTCACGATACATGTTGGCAAGACGGGGCGTGAAGATTCGCGCCATCAGGCGGTCTTCAGGAAAGACAAAGGAAACCTGGGCGAAATTCGTCGGGCCTTGGTGAGCCGAGCTTGGCAGGGCAGATTTTGAGCAAGAGATTGGTCCGTGATGAGGCCTACGTACCTTGATGCCATTGTTCAGGAGCTGAGCACCGACTTCGGTGCCGATGTAGCCACCACCAATAACGATGGCACGGGCGCTGCGGCCCTCAAACTTCTTCATGGTCTGTGGGCGATTGGTTGTGAGATGAGGACGCCCGGGCGCATCAGTGTGGCGGCGATGTGCCATGGGACAAACCTCAACCAGGTTTTCGGCGTCAACAATGGAGCGGAAGTAGTGAATGTCTCCGGGTCGATCGCCCAAGTTGGGGCGAATGGGCTACCACATAGGATTGTCGCGGCACAAAAAAAAAAAAAAAAAAGAGCATATGACTCAGCGAGTTATTGACAAGCATGAGGGTGAGCAGGGGGGCTTGCACATACATCGGCGCCAGTGGCAACGATGAGCTTGTCGTAAGTTAGACGCTGGCCACCTTCGAGGGTGAGGGCACGGTCTTGCACGTCCACCTGTGTGACGTTGGACTTGCCGAGAAAGTCGATGTTGTGGGTTTTGTACCACTCTGCGTCTTGTCGATCGCCACCGTCTCCCACGGAGGTATGGAAGCCTGGCAGGCTGTTTGGGGAATGAGTAGCCGAGTTGCAAATACATGAGTCAGTGGCTAGAGCAGTCGTGGGAGGAGAACGGAGGTGGGAGAGCATACTGGGAGCTTGAGCAAGCAAGAAGCGGGGCACTGCCAGGCCTACCGGGCGGGTTGAGTTTTGTTGAGAAAGCCCTTGGAGAGGGCGGGGCGCTCGTATGGAAGCACGGCCTCACGCGAAACGATGGCCAGGTTGCTCTACAGGACGCGCGCACCAAGATGGCATGAGACTGGAACCGTTTAGACCAGACAAAAGGCGAGCATGGCTTGTAGGGGCAGACGAACCGCGTTCGTGGCACCGGCTTGTGCAAAAGCACGCGCCACGTAACCGGCGGCAGTGCCACCACCGAGGACAATGTTGGCGTAGTGGGTAGCGGAGCTCATGGCGGCGGACGAAGCAGGGGCGAGGGCAGCAGCAGTGGCAGCGGAGGCAGGAGTGCGAGTATTTGTAGCCGAAGGGAGACAACACGAAAATAGCGAACCACGGGTGGAAGTCTTGGCCATTCTACTCCACATGCTCAGTTGGCAGGGGAGCGACTCTTTGCGTGGCACGACTGTGCAACAACGACGCAGGTGATGTCGTACGCTCGGCTTTGGCTTTGGCTTTGGGCCAGCAACTGCGAGGCGTGTCATGCAGATGCAATCACAGTCAGTCGGTGCAAGCCGCCACGGGGAAGGAGATGAAGAACCCGTAAAGGCCAGTAGCTTGGCTTGGAGGCCTTCGTTCTTGTCAGTGGGTCTTTCAGAGCCGAGCGCGGATGGGCATAGGAGGGTCATGTTTTGGTCACCTGGCGGCCATGGCAGCCAGGGTCAACTGCCTCTTCACCTCACTCACCTGGTGAACAAGTCAACGGAGGGATGCGCTAGGGATAGCAGGGACGGGGACCAAGGACCAAGGACCAAGGACCAAGGACGGGGTTCAAAAAAAAAAAAAAAGGAAAAAAGAAAAAGAAATGAAGTCATCCCTCATCAGATGATTCACCTTTGAAGTTGGTGCGTCATATCATGTCTGTGTGTGTGTGTGAGACTCAGCCCGACGGTATTGTCAGCATGGGTTGTCAGCATTAATTGTCAGCATGAGAGTTATGCAAATTGCCTACCTTTGGCTTTATTGCTGTGTGTGTGTGTGCGAGTGCGAGTGTGTGTGTGTGTGTGTTGTTTGTTCAATTTTTTTTGTGGATGCGCACAACAACGCAAGTGAAATGGCGGCGGGGACACTTTATCGAGCGGCACAGCTGTCCAGGTTAACGTGAGTTTGCGCCAGTGTGTGGATTGATTCCTTTTGTTTTTCCAAGCCGGATCCCTCCTTGTGGATGGCGGCTGGATCCCTCAAATGATGGCCTGAGGGTGCAGGTTCCTAGGCACCTCGGCTGGATGTCCGACCAAGCAGCGCAATGTGACTTCCCACGTTCTTACCTTCTCCAATGGGCGGCAATGGATGCTGGATTGCGGCGAAGGTGCGGGATCAGGTGCTGGTGACGCCGTTTTCAGCTCTGCAAGCGCGCCTGCTCACCTCGTGGGGTGCGTCTCATCACAGCCACTCAACACCAAATGCTGCACTGTCCTGAGGTCAAGGGCAGTCGTCTCGACGCCATCCTCATCACCCACCTCCACGCTGACCATGTCTTGGGCCTACCCGGTCTATTGGCCACGCTCTCTATGGCTGGTTCGTGCCACCTCGTCCCGTTGTGCATCCCTCCCCGCCGACTCCCCAGAGCCCAAATTAACAGCTCAGTTGTCCCGCGTGTCTCTCGGGTGCCATAGGCGGTCGCTCCGAATCCCAGCCGCTCAAAGTCATTGGTCCCGTACGTCGGTCGCTCCAGCTCTGCTCATGTTTCGCTGTGCTCTTTATTTTATTCTGTTTTGCTCTTATTTTTTTTCTCCCCGCACGCCAGCCCCGTGCACGTTGTTCCTTTTGCTTTCGCCATCTCTTGACCTCCCTATGGTCGACCCAATCCTTCCTTTGGCATTGCTCAGACGGGTTTGCGCCGACTGATCGAGACCATCCTGGAGCTCACGTTCTCGTACCTTACCTTTCCCATCGACTACCACGAACTCGATCCGCTGGAGACCCATGAACTTGGCCCAATGTTTGGGTACTGCGACTGCCTACCCGGCGATATTCTCACAACCCGCGTTCACTGCCCCTGCTGGGGTTTTGGTGCACTGATTCATTCTTCTTGCTTGCACACAGCCCCGATACCCCGGAGCTGGCAGCCTATCCCATTAAACATGCTGTCCCCTGCTTGGGCTATGTCATTACCGAAAGCCCTCCAACTCCCAAGGTACAAGCCTCCATGCGCCGAAGCTACAACGCCGTCGTCATTGGGGTTGACGCACGACCCGACACCTTAGATTGATGCTGCCCGTGCAAAAGCATTGGGCGTGTCTGGGCCCCTCTTGGGTACACTACGCCGCGAGGGAAGCGTAACCATTGAAGGTCAACTTGTGCACCTCGAAGACGTCTGCCACGCCGCCCTTCCGCCACGCAAGGTCAGAGCGCGGCCCCCGTCGAGATACTTTCTTGGGTTCTCTGTTCCCGTGTGCGCTTGAGGACTAAGCTGCATCGGCCTAGGTGGTTTTGCTGGGCGACACCAGTGATGCTTCCAGCCTGCATGCAGCTGGTCAAGGATGTCACACCGTTGTACACGAAGCCACGCTCGCTAGTGGCATGGAGGACCAGGTACATGTGTGTGCGCGTGCAGGAAGATGCTCGTGCTAGCCGTGTCGGCCAACCTCGGACCAACTCATTCATTTCCCATGTCACTCTAGGCCGTGGCCAACGGTCATTCAACTACCAACATGGCAGTGGACACGGCGCTAGCTTTGGGTGCCTCGCGCCTGATCCTAACGCATATCAGTCCTCGCTATGCCGTTGCCAGCCCAGAAGAGACGACGCCAGCCAAGAGCACTGATCTCGTGCTCCTGGACGAGGCACGCAATGCAGCAACAGCGCGATCGTCTGCGCTTGAGGTGGAACTCGCTCGTGATTTTGCGACATTCTCGTTTTAATTACACTTGATCACACGGACAGCGGCTATTGCCAAGACGGTTGCACATTGTAGCTGTTGAGCTTGCGAGGGAACCAACCCAAACAAAAGAAGGGGAACAAAGACCCGGCCAAAGTCACGGCGACGATTTGCCTTGTCCACTTGCTTTGGAACCTTACGAAGCAAAAGCAGGGTTGACAAACTCAAACCCAGCAAATTCCTCTTGCGGAATGAGCTTGAGCGCCCCCTTACCAACCGGTGTAAAGGCCGCCTGTCACAACGCGTGGGTCGGCAAGTGATTGAGGCTTGGCAATCAGCACGCACACAAATACAAGCAAAAACGTGGCTCTTCAGCCCACCAACCTTTTCACCGGTAAATTGCGAGTCGAAGTTGAGCGTCATTTTTGAGCCCGATGGCGGTACAAAGGGTGGTGACACCTAAAAGACCGGCCGGACGTGAATTGCCTGAAAATTTATGTTAAGACCCTCGCAACAATACCGTACCTTCTTGGCGTTGAGTTGATCCCAGTCAATGCTGCTGAAGAAGGCATGTCCCTATCACAAGGCATGGTTTTATTTTAGTAAGCGACGCCCGCTCAGCTCGTGTTGAGGGACCAGAGCGCTTGCAGGGCGAACCATAATGTCTTCAGCCCCAGAGCTACCGCTACCGAGCCGGGCGTCAGGGTCACTGGTCAAAAACTGCAGACACCAGGAAACGATGAGAGGCTTCACGCGAATCTCAATGACACCAAACAGGCTTGCTTGTTGAGAAGCCCCCCTACGAGTGTACAGACGCACGGCTTTGACTAGATCACTCGCGCTGGACGAGAGGTGGCGGGGATAGTGAACATCGTTGTCCAAAATTGCTTGGAAGAGCTCGTCATCGTCATCACCGCCAAATGGCGCCTCTCCCACCAGCATTTCATAAAGAAGAACGCCTAGGAACGTGACAGATACATGCATGCAGAGAAAAACGCGTGAGATGCAAACAACAATCATAACAGCACACGGGAAACGAAGGAGAAGAATACAGGCCAAACTCAACATTATCACCCTGCAAGCTCGGCGCCAACAAAGAAACGTACCAAGGGCCCAATAATCCACGGAAAAGTCATACGACTGGCCGTTGATGATTTCGGGCGCAATGTAGTCGGGTGTACCGCTGCGCGTCGGCAAAAACAATATCGTGAGAACAGGCGCAAAAATATATTGTCGGAGTGTTTGACTGCAAGGCGGAGGCGTCAAGCCTACCAAAACGTCGTTGCCCGGTTGCTCGCCGAAATGTCCTCCTTGGCCATGCCCATGTCCGCAATGCAAATGTGGCCGTCGGCACCGACCATGACGTTGTCCAATTTCAGATCCCTTCAATGCACGGGGTACCAGTGGTCAGAAAACAAGACTTGAAATCGTGCATCACGAAAAGAAGGAACAAACAAGGTTGAACGACGGCAAAAAAAGAGGCGCACCGGTAAATGATGCCTCGGCCGTGCATGAAGAAGAGACCCAAAAGGATTTCGGCGCAATAAAACTGGCTGAGAACCTCGCTGAAGCGGCCCTGCTGCATGATATGGTACATCAAATCCCCACCAGCCACAAAATCCATGACAAAAAAGAGTCGCCCCGGTGTCTGGAAGGTTGAGTGCAAATGCACGCAAAAGGGAGACTGCGTGCCCAGCGCCAGCACGTTCCGCTCGGTCATGATGCACTCGACCTCGTCATTCTGCGCGTGGGAGAGCGACAAATATCACCCATGTCAAGATGCAGGCCGTGGCACTCACCACGGGGGTTTCGTCTCAAGCGCCGATCGTACCTCAACAACGCTGGCCTTTTCAATGGCCTTGATAGCAAAGTACTTGCCCGAACTCTTCTCACGAGTCAAGATCACCTACGAGCAGCCCCAGAAACGCAAGTGGTCATCATCACGTCATTGTCATGCTCAGCAGAGCCAAAAAATAGACGAGTCATCCATGGGCCAAGCAAAGCCCTTTTCGACGAGTGCACGGACCTTGCCAAAAGAGCCGCGGCCGAGAACGGAAAGCAGTTCAAAGTCGGCGAGGCTCTTGGATTCACCCGCAGTGACCTGGGGGCATCCAATCAGACCAGGAGCGCAGCGTGTTTGTGAGAGCGGGCCTTGTGTAATCAAGGCACCTGTACCATCAAGCTGGCGGTCAGCCTGACCTGGCTGCGAAAGTCTGATGGGAGCTTGTTGCGGCCCTCAATCTCCTTTTGATGCTCCATCATAAACTCAGAGGAGGCAGTCGAGTGCACAGAGGCCATCAGGCGATCCTCTGTGGTTTCCTTGCCGGAATCGCCGGAATCGACGGTCGAGCCATGGTCTGGAACCATCATGTAAAACGCCGCGCCTAACAATTATCGGTGGCCAAAATTGACGAGAAGCAACACAGGCAAGCACAAAGCATCATGTTGGGCATGGGCCATGAGAGAACCAAAACGGGCTACAATACCAACATTCAGGAGACAGGATAGCGTCGAACCTTGTCGCTTGTCCAACAGCTTGTACCAGCCAGTATACTTGCCCGCTGACTGCGGATCGGCAATGTCCTTCAGCTCAAAGGTCATGGCACCCATAAAATCGTTGCGGCGCAGAAAGTCTTTGTCCCACACGGCCACATGAATCTGAGTGAGGCAAGAGGGTGATTCATGAATGGTGCGCTCAATGGGCCAATGTCGGGCTGGCAATCCGTATCAATGAATGAAAACCGCTAGCTGCATGCCAGTACCGTCTCAGTCAGGTCCGCGGTGGCTGGGAAAGGCACAGAAAAGGTCTGGCGAAAACTTGGGTTCAGCTCCTTTGGATGCACGGGTGTTTTGAGGCGCATCACCTCGGTGCCCTTGCGCATGACTTTGATCTATGGCCAAGTACGCCCACACATCAATGCAAGCATTGGAAAGGATTGAAGGGGTAAGAACGACAAAAGTTGGTTCGATCGCATCGTGCGCATTGACAGCATGTCGCACCTTGACGTAGGGGTCGCTGGTACCGGTAGGGTCCATGGGCAGGAGGTTGCGAGCGTCGCCAACATAAATGGTCAACTTATTCGACTTGTCCGAATCCTGACCCCGGAAGAAGAAGCGCTCAATGAGCACTGAGCTGTAACACGCTGGCCTGCGACTGTTGAGTGGAAAAGAATTCATACCTTTTCAAAGCGCAAGTCCAGAAACAAACGTCCACGGCGCTCCTGCAGATCGACGCCACACAATGCCGGGACGCGCGCAGTGCAGTTTTTGTGGCAGTTGATCTTGCAAGCTAGACAAGCCGGAAGAAGTCACTATGAAGGCTCGGGCTTCTCTGATTTCTCGGCTTGTACGATTCGTCACCAGAAGCAGAGCTGAACTTACAGCCACATTGGGAGCCTTGCCGAGCAATGCCATACAGCAAAGTGCCACTGCAGAAACCGCAAAAACAACTGAGAACGGCGATCGAGCGCCTCGGGGGCTTTGCCTATCAAGCGCAGCCAACGGGTCAAGCAGAGCAGCAGCAGCAGCAGCAACGTACCAGTGGTCGCAAAAGGTGGGACGATAGTAGGTGCGAACGGCAAAGTTGTGCTTGGTAGTCGCGTTGAGATCCGACTATTTGTACCCAGAAAGATGCGATGAGGTAAGAAGCAGCATAAGAGCCACTGTAGTTGGCCGACAGCGTCGTGGCCGACAGGCTCATTGATGCAACAAGGGGGGTGTACTGACATCATCAGCAAGGCCTGGGCATTTGAAGTGCACGTATTCATGGCATCGCTTGTGGGTCACAAAGCCACACTCTTCCCATCACGGCGATCCGGGCAAAAGTGAGAGAGAGACCTCAAGCACCTGACAGTAACGACCAGTCTTGAGGGCGGATGATAAAGCAAAGAACAGACCGGTGCAGGCGTAGCCCTGCTTGTTGAGGCCCCAGATGAACTCTTTGCAGTGGGCACAAAAGGTGGGCTGCTTGAAAAACTATCACACGATCCCAGAGCAAAAGTATTTGAGTCGACATGCGAGGAGAAAATGCGAGGGCACAGAGTGGTGGTCTGGTCTGGTCTGATCTAGACTTGCAAGCGGGATCCGGCACCATACCTTGGCTGCAAAGCGGTGGCCTTGAACCACGTGCACCTTCTGACGTCGAATCCCTCCCTCGCGGCTAGATCAGGCCAGCACCAAAGGTGCAACACACATGAGGGAGGTCAAACCAAGGCAGCAAGCAGATATTACGAGTCGGATCAGTCGACGAACCGGATCTTGCCGGTGGCCACCCGGCCTGGCTTGTCGGACATGGTGGCGGGGGGGGGGGGATCGATCGCGAAAGCGTGTGCGTCCAACTGCTGGTCACAAGAAAAAGCCGGGCTACGTGGCCGTGGCATCCAGTTCCAGACATCAAATGCACAAGCAATGGACAATCCACATGAGTACGAGACCATGAGTGCAAATCCGAACGAGCGAAAGAGAGAACAAAGGACATGGATCACACGGGACGAGGCATCGCCAGACTCACGCGTCAGCTTTCCGAGGATGGTCGGTCGCAAAAAGCGACTCTCGAGGGGTTTCTTCCCTCTGCAAGCTGCTCACGGTTGGGGCACCAGCTATCCGACCTGACAAAAAGGGTACAACACAGCCAGGCACAAACCGGAAGTGAGCGCAACAGGAGGGAAAGGGGCGGGGGTTGTTCAGAGCGAGATCGCGGGGAAGGATCGGATCGATCGATCTCCACGATCACACACCACAAAATACTCAACGCCCCCATGACACATCCCAAGTGTGCACATGTGATCAGGTTTGTGTTCTATTTTATCGACTTGTTGCAGTAAAATATTTTCAACTACTACTCCTTCCTTTACCAAGTGTCGTCTTTATGTAGATTATGTTTAACTTGTTGCAGGCCATGTTTCAAAATCTGACAATGAAGTTGCTTGGGGCTTGCATTGTTTTGCCAGCTTGCACAAAGAACCTAGCCGCGTGTCCTACAACACTTCCCTTGTCTGTGTCGCTGCCTCTTGGTCTGTTTGCCTGTGTCTCTGTCTCTGTCTCTGTGTCTGTGTCTGTGTCTGTGTCTGTGTCTGTGTCTGTGTCTGTGTCTGTGTCTGTGTCTGTGTCTGTGTCTGTGTCTGTGTCTGTGTCTGTGTCTGTGTCTGTGTCTGTGTCTGTGTCTGTGTCTGTGTCTGTGTCTGTGTCTGTGTCTGTGTCTGTGTCTGTGTCTGTGTGTCTGTGTGTCTGTGTGTCTGTGTGTCTGTGTGTCTGTGTGTCTGTGTGTCTCTGTCTCTGTGTCTCTTTCGCTCTGTCTCTGTGTCTGTCTGTCGCGCGCGCGCACACGCGCGCACGCACGCACACACGCACGCGCACACACACACACACATTCGGCACAGACTGAAACGCGCGTACATTGGGAGACACACGCGATAAGATCTGCTTAATACAAGATGTGCAGATATCAAGAGGGTGGATTGACAAGGATTGCAAGCTTGCCATCAACGGCCCACTTCAAAGACAAGAACTGTTGCTTCTTAGTTGGCCAGGGTGGCAAGCTTGACCAGTACTTGCGCCACGCTCTCGTAGGTGGGACGCTCATCAGCCGCTGCCATGCAACTGCGGCACAGTGCAACAAAATCCTGTGCCTCCTCTGGGTGTGTCCACATGTCGGCGGCAAAGCGTGACCCAAAGGAATCGGTTTCACTGCCGGGCGTCAGCTCAAACCGCATGACATCGCCAGCCAAAATGGCATCACGCGTCGCCCAGGGTGATGCCTTGGCAAGATGATCCACTGGCTCGCGACGAGTCAGCAGTTCCAAGCCAATCACGCCACCACTGTAAACGTCTGCCGCCATGGTCACCCGATTGCCTTCCAGCACCTCGGGTGCTGACCATAAAAGCGTCCCCTCCGTCTACAAAGTCACACATTCAGATGAGTCAACTAACAAAACTGGCGGCAGACGCGGGCCAGTGGAGTCCAGCACACCGAGATGTACTAACAAAGTGTTCAGAGCTGCTTGACTTGGAAGATTTGACATCCCGCAATGTGAGATCGAGGTAAGCCGTGCCGAAATCTGCAATCTTCACCTCCCCGCTGGCGGCCAACAATAGATTGCCACTCTACGGCAAAAGCGAGCGAAGACGGACAAATTAACCCCCCCCCCCCCCGAATGCAGCCAGTGAGGAAGGCACCAACAGCACTTGCGCAACCAAGCTTGCGCCTTGCAGAATCAAACGCAGACCTTGAGATCGCGATGCAGAATGGGTGGGTCTTGCCCATGAAGATACACCATGCCTCGCACAAAGCCAAGCATTAGCTTCAGGCGGCGGCTCCAGGTGAGAGAAGCCTCTCCGCGCAACATGGTGTTTAAACTACCACCGCTGCAAAACTCCAGTACCAAAAAAGGGCAATGTTCTGGGTCAAACCCAGCACCATAGAAAAACACCTATCATCAAGGGCCAATGCGTACAGGTTGAGGGCAAACCGACATGACCACGGCCATGCCGACTTTGAGGCTCATGTTATCCATAGCAATATTTATAAAGGGTCAGCACTCACAATGTTGCGATGCCGAAGCTCACGGAGCACGGTCATCTCCTTATCAAAGTCCTGCACGGCTTGTTCGTCATATTCAAAGGCATGTCGTTGCAGACGCTTCACAGCTGTTGAGCGATCTTGCCACTGACACAGCCAGACCTGAGGTCGATCGCCCCAATTCAAAGCGAGGGCAGGGTCAAAATGGCGAGTTAAGATGCCCGCATGTCAACGAGTGGACGTGACTGAGCAAGACGCCATACCGACCTCGCCAAAAGCGCCTTTTGACTCGTTATCGATACGACGCTCAAATTCAAGCTCGCCGAACGGAATTTCCCAAATCTTTTTGAGGCGAACCACTTCTTCCTTGGTCTCCTCGAGAAGCGAATACTGGCGACGATTTTCGACATGGTAGCGACGCACACAGATAACCAGTCCACAGCAGCTAGACGCAAACACGACAACGCCTGACCAAGGTAGAACAACCGACGGACCGTGAGCAGGTCAAGCCATTGCGCGAAGATAAAGCTCACTCAAGCAAGAATCAGCCGTGAGGCGACGCACCAATGGCTATGGCAGCAGATACCCAAGCAATGCTGATTGTGCAGCGGTCGCCATAGTAGCCAGAAGTGCAGTGACACACAGTCTTCATGTCACTGTTTACCAAGCAACTGCCATGACGGCAGTCGTTGGTCACGCACACGGAGCAATTGGCGAGTGCTGAAGCTCCGACGTCCGCCGTCGTTGTGCCGTTGGGGCAAGCGATGCAAGTATGAGACTTGCCTGCAAGAAGTCAGTCGCACCCAGGCAATGCGGACATGAGACGCAGAGCGTCGATAACGAATTTAATTCTGGTGATGGTTGCCGGTTTGTAAGCGCTCAATGCCAAAAGCGTACCAAGGTTATCGGAGTAGGAACCATTCGCGCACGGCAAACACAATAAACTGTTCTCATCCATTGCATATTGACCCGGCGGACAGCCTAGCTGTAAAGCTAGTTCGCCGAAACAGTTTGGACAATAAGCAGACGCAATTGGAGCATCGAGTCTGATTCAGTGGGCCCGCAAATGGGAGCGGCACAGACCGCGAATATCAGCTGTCGGTGCGAAATGGCCGGCATGGTCGCCCGTCACCAAGCCACCTGCTGTTGTGATAAGAAACCCCTTGGAACTACACAACCCTCATACACAGAGCCAATGGTCGCAGTGAGTGGCCGTCCTGGTCGCCGTTGTTGCCTGGCCAAAATCATAAGACCGAGCAAAGTACCCACTTGTGCGTGATTGTCAATAGACCACCAAACCAAGGAACGGAGTGCTGCGCTGGTACGGTCTGCCAAATCCACCGATCTTCGGGCGTAAACCCCCCAACATATAGTGTATCAAACTTCAAGTGACCCGAAGAATGCACAGGAAACGGGCGAAAAGATCGAAGGCAACCATTCCATGAGCTCGATGCTTCCGAGGGCATGCCGCAGACACCGTCGAAAAATGAAACAAGGCTGTGCAGGAGATTTTGGGACGCACAATATGTTGCGCAGAGTTGACGTCAGCGTCCGCCATGGCAATGCCACCGTAGACTACAATGTACTTGTTGCCAAAGGATGCAAAGGCCGGCATGTATGGGGCCGGACTAAGTGCGAATCAATGCGCGACAAGCGAGACAGCAGATATGGCCAAACCTCGTGAGAAAAGCCAAGGCAAAGCGAAATGGCAACAGTGCGTGAGCAGAACTTCAGCACAAACATCTTCAAGTCGATGGCGGTCGTGCTTTGCGCAACTATACTCCAATGCATGGTGTTGAAGTCCAGCACGTAAGTGCTGGTATTTCCTACAGTACTACCGCCGTGTGCCACAAGCCGTTGGCGCCCATCGGCGCTCGTGTGGAGAAAATCTAGGCCCATGTATGACAAGTGCAGACGTCGACATCAGCCATGGCAAGCAGACCCAGTTGATGGCCCTGTGGCACCCATCTTGTCGTCAAGGAAAATTGCAGCGCGGCACCAACACCAACACCCAACGTACATGCGCCAGTGGCAAATACGGTCGGCATGGCGCCGGTCGTGACTTCTTCACGCCAGCAGCCAACTTCAGGATTTGCCGAGCTGTAGTAGTAACCAAACGAATCCGTGACAAACTCGGACCAAAAGTCCCAGGCCACAGTCAGGCGCGTACTGAATCCTCCATATACAAAAAGCATGCCTGCAGCCCAACGTTCAATCAAGATGGCCCGAATGAGCCATCTTATCGACAAAGAGTCGTTCAAGGGCGCCCTCAAACCTCACCGATCTCGTCAAAGATATCCAAATCAGGGCAGAAGGTCGTGTTGGCAGGCTTGGAAGTAGGTAGGGTCACAGCTAAATGACTGGCTCGAGCTGTGACTTTATGGCTCTTGGAGGGCAAGGTTAAGTTCACCCACAAGGGCATGGAGGCGTCCAGCAAGTAGAATGTGTTGAGGGGCTCATACACAAACAGGCCGGATGTACTCCCACCAAACAAAAAATACTTTGAATAACCCACAGGCGTCAACGTAGCGCCCTGGGTTGGCGGCGGGGTAGCACCAAGGTTGGGAATCTTATCCAACGACTGCTGACACATATCCACGTGCCAAATTGTATCATACTAACAACAATGGTCATTGAGAAACGCGGGGAGGCAAAGCATGGTTGCCGAAAACATTTTTTTTGTGAGTGGATGTCTTTAAGCCTGGAACAGCGAGATTGATTTTCCTTCATGTCACACAATGATGTTGCCAAAACAAAAGCCGCAATGTGTATTTCCTGCGAGGACGACGCCATGCGAGCAAAACCTACCAATGTGCCAAAGACATTGGCTCCGCCAAAAAGGTAACCGTCGGGAAAATAAGAGGCCGAGGCCACCTCAATGGAAGACTCGAGGCCGTTGTAGTTATAGTTGAGTTGGCGCCAGTATCCAACACTGATGTCAAATTGCCACAAGTCATTCTCAGTCACCACGCCTACATGAGAAATGATGGAAGTTGTGAGACAGTGCAAATTGTCGGCGCTAATCGCTCGCGGTCAGAACCTCCGAGCATACCGGTATAGCCGGACCAAAGAATGATGCTCATGGTGGCGGGATTGTAGGCGATGGTGGACCACTGTCGGGGATTAGGCTTGTCGCTGAGATCTTTGACGGGAATCTCTCGCCAGAGCATGCCCGTGACGTTGGTCGAGTTTTTTTGCCAAGCCTTGAATCCGATGACCCAGGCAGGTTGATACCAAGCCGAGGAGCACCGTGAGCCAGCACAGCACGACAAGGAGTGGACGAGGCGGGAGGGTACGAAATGACACGTGCTAGACACCTTACACCTTACCTCATCTGGTATGGACAGATACTGCAAGGAGCGTGACCCAAGGGGTGTGACTCCATATTTCCAAAAGGCCATCTTGTTCTGAAATGGACCGGTGGTGTATTGTGGAAGGTCCGAGGCGCTGTACCTGCGGCATAGACAAGGTATGATGATGTATCGTACATGGCCGATACCATTGTTTGAGCAAGAGCAACACGGTCAGTTTCAACAGGAGGAGGGCTGCGTGGGTCAACTCACCCAATGGCAGTCGCGTTTCCGATGCGGGTCCATTGGCCGTCAGAACAGTAGGGGGCTGACAAATTGAGATCAAAGCGCCAGACATCATCATAATAGGTAGTTTCCCAATCAGTACCGCTCGTCATTATGACTTGGCCCGGGTGCTTTCGATCGCTCATGAGGTAAGCACCTGCCCGAGCCGGGGGGCAGTCCGTCGTGCAGGACACCGAGGTCCAAGCACCATTGGAAAAGAGCCAGGTGTCCTTCATGGCACTGACCAGACTGGCACCGCCAAAAACGAGATGGCAGCTGCGGTTCAAAGGCTCGCTATCATATATCAACTGCACCGCACTATCTGAGCGTGAAACGGGAATCTCACTGTTTTCCGCGTCAGTTTGATAGGGAGCGATGATGTGGTCAGCCGCATCGTAAATCAATGTGTCGTTGAAACAAACGGGCGATGTGCCGTTGGCGCATCCAAAGAAGAAGAGCAAGTCGTTTTCTTCATGGTCAGCAAAGGCTGTGGCATAAGAGTAGCGGATAAGATCCTCGAGGATGGCGATGGGAGTCCAGCGGTTGTTGCTAAAGTCAATGTGCCATGCATCTTTTGGGGACGTTGCATCCGTAAAGTAATCGCTTGGCTCCATGAGGCCGCCAAAAACAACACCCTTGCCGTTTCGATTGAGTTGCAGCATGACGTTGACGCGTCCTACATGAGAGCGAGCGAGGATATAGCACGAGCAAAACATGAGCCTAGAACCCGACGAGAGGCTCCGCGCGAGTCTTTTTGAATGTCAAACGAGCTTACCTTGCGGTCCGTTGACGGCATAGGACGACTGGCTCCAGCGATTATAGACATCCAAAACGCTCGTATCATCAGGGCAGGGAGATTCCATGCCGCTGGTCAGGCCAGCCGTTAAAGCCAAGAGCAAGAAGCAGCCAGCAACATGCCTGCAACCCATGATGGCACGTCGGCCAAGCGTAGGGTTCCCTGCTTACAACAAGAACGATCTGAGTGGCAGCTCCGTAAATCCGTGAGCCTCCGCCTTGAGAGTGCAGTTCCCGGCCATTCATCCACCGATTTCCCCAGAGGCTGCAATCACCCCAGTGGCTGCGATCACCCCAGTGGCTGCGATCACCCAGCTCTCCGTCACTCCTGCCTGCAGAAAACCCCTTGGCAAACAGGGTAGACAATCACAGCAGCAGCAACACGCGCACACGAAAAAAAAAATTATGACGTGTGTGCGTTTTGCGGTAAGGATGATTATCTGACATCCCACATGTGAAGGGATAGTTTAGGGACTCGGGCTATGCTCAACGACTTGTCTTGTGTTATGGAGATGGCCTGTTGCTAGAACTCAGATGAAAAGTGAACAACGCGCTGTGCTTCTTGGCCGATAGGGGCACGTGAGACGGTCGTTCAGATGACACGACGGATGAAGGCTGGTAAGACGACGATCGAGGCTGGGCGTGTGCTTTTGGAAAATGGGGTCGCTGGGTCTAGGGCTAGGCTTCAACTGGGGCAAAATCAAAGGCCACGAGGCGGAGCGGCGAGTCCAGACCGAGGACAAGCAGCCAGCGGGCCTCGGCCTGTGAACCGAGGCGAGGGTCAACGATCAGTCAGATGCCTCAAGCCACAGAGGCCCACCATTCCAGGAACTGAGAGCCAAACTGACCAAGAGACCACGAATCAGAACGGGATTATGATAAAACGTATAAGCAAGCTCCCCCGTGTTGGCGTGCCAGCCAAAGAGACGACGGTTATCCCCACCTGACAGCAGCACCGACCCTCGGACCTGGCGAGAGGCGGCCGAGGCACGGGCTTGCGGATGAGTGGCAAGTAGCAGCCCGTCATAGATGCACGCCGGGACCGACCTGAAGTTGCCGCACCAAACCCACGTGACCCTTGAGCGTGTGCAGAATGATGAGTCGCAAGTCATAGACATGGATTACGGCATCCGCGCCTCCCGTGGCCACTCGATCGGCCTGCACCGCAATGGATTCCTATGCTTGGTTGTCACCATCGCACACACTGTTCAGAACACAAACAGACGCATGCACAAGCGACGACGCTACGCAAGCCGGATGTTGGCCGGCAAACAACACACCACACTACTCTCGTGGCATACATTTGCCTGGAGGGAATGCTGGAAGGGAGCAAAGCAACCGACAGAGCCATCAAATGCACCCCAAAAGAGCTGTTGACCGCTCGTGTCCAGCTCACACGCCGATATGCCAGCTGGGCACAGCATGGGCTCCTCAAATGGCTCCAGAGTATCTCGGTTGTGCACCAGGCATCTAGGTTGACAGGGGGAGTGAAGCACCACCATAGCCCAACATTCTTCGGGCCCACGAGGACAGGCACAGCCTTCATTTCACGTACGCGGTGCCGTCCCAGCTCACGGGACAGAGGATAGGTTCGAGGGTTGGCCCACCCATGGTCAGGATGCGCACGACCTGGTCGGCAAACAGCCGCCGCTGACATCCAGGACTAGCTTGATCGCGTCCAGCTCCCAGCGGCAGGGGCCAGCATGCAACCACCCTAGACTCGCACACAGTTTGTCAACATTGAGGCTGGGCACACACCAACGCTGCAAGCAGCATGCAGCTGGAAAAACAGGAATGTTGGATAGAGTCGGAGAAGCACAAAAATGCTCCAGAGCAAGAGGAAAAGGAAAAAAAAAAAATACATAGGCAAGCCAGACATTTGCTCGAGAGGAGGGTGCAACTGACCCATCCTGGGTGCCAGCATAGATCCAGTTGCCCTTGATGTGCAAGGTGGTCACCTCCGACCCCACCCAGGCACGCATGGTGGCAACGACAGTGCAGGCCGCCAGATCGACCACGTGAACCTAAATGTGGACACCCCGGCACCCTGGGGTGAGCGCGCACACGCCCGATGTCACGCCAGTGTGAGTATATCGTGTTGCGCCACCGGTACGCACCAGGCCGCTCTCAGTTCCAATGGCGACCAGCGGCGTGTTGCCTATGGCCGTGGAGACGGCAGAGAGCACGGTGGCATCTTCGTCTTGACAGACGTGCAGCGTTTTCTCTGATACAAGTGGGGCAGCCAAGCGATGCACGAGCACTATTGCCCAGGCGTGGAAGAGAGATGAAGTGATTAGCCTTGGTGTAAGGTCTGGACAGAAGGGCACCCACGGGCATCTGACGAACATTGCCCCGACTGCGTTAGAATGCACAGAAGGCCGTGTTCTGTGCTTAACTGCCAGTCAACAGGTCGGTCTGTGGACAAGGGCGCGCTATTCGTGGCCCGAAATCGCCCTCGGACCCAGTTGGCCTCGGTGTGCAGGTGCCTACAGAATCACAGCCGTGCGTACGCGCATGAGGAAACTCGGGATTCTGAATTAATGTTCCAAGGGTTGTTCGAACCGTCGCAGGCTCTCCAGATGCGTCGCGGTTGTGGGCATTGACGCACACGCACTGCAGCCTGGACGTGTTGGGAACACAACCACAGGGATGAGCGGAACAGAACTTGCGGCCGACAGCCGCTCAAAGCAACAGTGCGCAGCGCATCACCGTGAATGGCATGTCCAATGACCCGGGCATGGTGCGCCTCCCACACCACTTGCAAATCCAAGAGACGCGCACGCAGCGTCTGGCACACCTGCATCAGCGCAAAAAGGTCTGCACATCGGGGGGTCGTCAAGCTCGCGGTGCAGCAGGGCTGAGATTGACACATTGCAAGCGGATGCCGAACCTTCAACGCCAAGATAGAAGCAAATTCGACCTAAAACCTCCGTTGGGAAAGCGAGTAGATCCAACGCCATGACTCTGCTCCCACCCGCCTGACAGCGGTGCCCCACCTCGCCGATGTTCAGTGCCCTTGAAAACACACACACACACACACACACGAACTGATCATAAGCATGTCCGCAGTTTTTTTTCTGTTTTTTGTTTGTATTTTTTTCTTCTCACACACACACACACACACACACACACACGAACATCTCAATTTCTTCTTCTCGTGTGTGGAAATGGTTAATCGCGCGAGAGCTGTTGCAAGGCGTCGTCAAAGCCGTGACAGTCATTTTCCTCGGTGCGTGAAACCATGACCGACTCGAACCAAGCAGTATAGTTGGCAACAATGGCTGAAAAAACGTCAGGGTATACGGAGCTCAGATCGGTGGTCTCACCCATATCTGTCTCGAGGTCATACAAGAAGCCCTGCGTGCAAGACGGTTTACACCCTTGGCTATTGTTGACAAACTTCCAGCGCCCATAGCGATAACCGTGCTGGGACGGATTTTGATACATCCAGCCAATGCCGCGCAAATCAAAATCACCCTCGCCTGTCAAAATGGGCATAATGCTCTGACCGTCAAATGCCCACTGTGCCTGACTCGCAGGGCGTTGGACGTCAAGCACATCCATGATGGTGGCCATAAAATCCATGGTCACCACTGTGTCCCAAGACACCATGTTACGTGGCACCACGGCTGGCCAAGACACGATACCTGGCACGCGATGTCCCCCTTCAAAAATGTCACGCTTGCGTCCCCGCAGTGGCCCGGCAGAGCCTGGATAAGTGAGAAAATGCTCGGGCTCACATCGCCCAGCCGCATCTCCGCTGCCCTCGCAGTTGCCCTATGAGCAAGCACGCCGATGATTGGCTGGCCATAGGCATCCAAACACGGTCTTCTGCGTTGATCCTTTCCAACAAGATTCTTCCTCGCGCAAACGGGTTGGATGTCAAGACAAACCTCGGGTCCGTTATCCGTGGTCACCCACATCATGCTAGAATAATACAAAACATAATAAAATGACAAGAGGAACCAAGCCGAAGCAAAAGTCTTGAGTTTGAACAAAGTGCAGCCAAGTTTGAAGAGGGAAATGTGCCCATGCTGCAAGCGAGTCGTTGACCTACGTGTTATTGCGATAACCAAACGTCTCGAGATCAGTTAAGAGGCGACCTACAGCTGCATCAAGCTCGTTCAAACACGCATAAAAGTCCAGCTGGGCGTCACTGTAATTGCCAGGTCGACACGTCCGCCCGGCGGCACAGTCGGCACGTGCTTCAGGGGTTCCAATGTACGGAATCTGGAGGCCAACACACCGGAGCCAATGTGAGGTGGCTTGGGGTGAGTCGGTGCAGCCTGGGAGTTGAGAACCTACATGGCAGTTATGGAAGCTGATTTGAGCCAGAAAGGGCGCCCCATCGCGCCCAGCCAAAAAGTGATAAAAGCTGTCTGTCAGGTACAGTGAATCATCCTGTGGGATGGGCTGCGAGTAGTTGGAGACGGCGTGCGCTGCAGAAGCATTGGGCCACCAGTAGTTGAAGCAGCAGTTGTTGCCGCCCGGCCCTTCCCCGCCTTGGCAATGATTGGTTCCCTCGTAGTGGCCGTAGAGGCAATCCTTTGACCACTCTTGGCGACAGTTGCCTGAAACGAAAAGCCAGTAAGTAAAAGGCATATGACGAGCAGGCGTAACCAACGCGCGAGCAGAGAGGCAAAGGGGAAGCAGGTGACGAGTCGAGAAACTGGCTAAAGATGCAGACGAACAATTGGTTGTTGCGGTGGGTGCCACCTCGACTGTGGCATTGAAGCGATCAAAGCCGTGTGTCACGGGACTGGAGGTCAGACCGCCATATTTTTCGCTGTCGTTGTAGAACGAACCCAAATGCCTACACACCCAAATCGGTCCACGGCCAGACGATAAAGTATCAGGTGTCGTCGCCAAACTAAAATGCCTTTGTAGAATATTTCACCAACCACCAACATTTGTGCGAGACCTTACCATTTGCCTTGAAACATGGAGCCATACTCGGGGTGTGCATCGCGCACGGACTGTCCGATGGTGTATGTGTGATTTGGAGCAAACTGAAAATTCGGAACACACTCGGTCATGTCGCTACAGCCGTAAACGTAGTTGACGCAGTCTCGAAAGTGATTACGCCCCGTCAACACCGTGGCCCTAGGTACATCCGGCCCGTGAGGGTGGGTGGTGGCGAAGGATCAGCGTGTCGCAGGCATACAAAGTGGCACGCACCGAGTGGGGCTACACACGGTGCCACCGGTATGAAAGTCTTGAAACATGACCGATCCTTGGGCCGTGGCAAGTTGATTGAGGTGCGGGGTATTGGCCACTCCACCATTGTCTACATGGCCGCAATCATGGCTCGCTTGAGGATCGCGTTTGCCGAAATTGATCGAGCGGTCTCCTGCGCCTTAATTCCGAGGTGACGGGGATCATTCAAAACTTACAACCAAAATCTGCCCAGCCAATGTCATCCCCCAGCACAAACAGAAAAGAGGGCAAGTTGCTTTCAGCTCCCACACTGCATCCCCCAGCGGCCACCAGCAACAAGCAGCATCCAGCCACCCGTCGCCAAAGAAGACTTCCAGCCACCATGGCGATCCGATCTGCCATGTCAGTGAGAGCACCTTCCCCCCCCCAAGATTTGGCAAACATGACCCGGACAAGCACCTTCAATAACTCTTATAATAACGACAATACTTAACGTTATATACGTTAGTGTTTCTACATCTATTGTTTACACATCGACACCTACCACTTCCTTGTTGACATTACCTATGAATTTTCTGACATTACAAAACGAAAACCGTCTTTAAAATTACAGGATCGTTTTTAATTTTCAAAAAATTCAGGAGAGCAAAAAAAAAAAAAAAACAGAAAATGGCGACACTGGGGGCGGCGGCTTCGCCACCAGGCACGACGCCGAGCAAGGCGGGAACAAGTCCACTGCCAGGACTTCTTGCCATGACTTCGCCTACGGGTAGTGATACGAGTTTGCGGGCCGTGAGCCCGATTGGCCTCTCGACGCCACGAGCTCCCAGTCCCATCACCCGCTCCTTGTCTTCAAAGTTCGTAATCCCGTCAACCGCCATCCTTGTTTCAGGCGACAGGTTTTCAGACAACAAGACTGGGCGTGCCTCATTGTGTTGTTGTTTGACATGCATGGCATTGCAAATGGCGTGTTGCAGAAGCATACGGCGCAAGCAGCGTGGTCCCTCGCTTTGGGGCAAGGCGCGACTCGGTGTCCAAGTCGCAGCCGTGTTCAACGATGTTCAAGCGGAGCGGCAAAAAACGCTGGAAAAGGTCAGGCACAAGCTCTTTGACGCATCAACGCGTTGTCTTTGTCGGCGTCTACCTTCCGTGTGCTCAAATCCGTGCTATTGTTGGGGGCTGGCCGCAGTTTGAACAATTGCAAAACCAGTCGGCTGATAAGCGCCATCTGTTGGAACGCGCCCGGGAGCTCAAATCGTGCGTGGCCCCACGATCGAAGCTCGCGCAACCTTTTTGTTTGTTTGTTTGTTCAGTCGCTCACATTCATTTTTGGTTTTAGATTTCTTGGGCGCTGCCAGGGTGTGCAGCAGCGCTTAGACGACAAGGAACAGCTTTTGCGTGCCAGTGAGATTGATCCCAGCCAAGATGTGGCCTTGGCTCTGCAGAAACACCAGGTCTATACTTTGTGCATGACACTGGCAGTATGCTGTCGAGCCGTTGTCCCCTCCTCCTCCTCCCTCACAGATCCCACCTGTTGAAATTCCTTTTTTCCCTGTCAGTCACTGCTGGCCGAGTTGAAGACCTTTCGCGAGGACTTGGAACAACTTGAAGCTGAAACTCAAGAACAAGTGGCTGCTCAGCATCCTGGCGCCAATCGCTTCCAGGCCGCAACAACCAAGCTCGCTGACTCGCTTGCAACTGTCGAGCAGCTGGCGGACGAGCATGGGTGTGTCTTTCTACTTGTAAGCCTGTGCCGACCTTTTCCGAATGTTCTCACCTCTCTGCCCTCCCCGTGTGCCTGCTCTGCACCATTGTAGCCGTGCGCTGCAAAACTCCACGACTCAGTTTGAGCAATGGGAGGCTCTTCAAAAGCGCCAGCAAACTTTTGACAAGTGGTGTGAGGCAACCCGCGCCAGCATTCTAGCCCACGAACCCGCCGAGGACCTGGCCTCTGCTCGTACGATTGCGCCCGTGGACCACGCCGCGTCCTGACTTTGACTCAAGCATACTCCCTTTTGCCTTCGTCTTCTTACCTGTCCTTTTTCTTTTTCTTTTTTTTTTTTTGTCGGGGTGGGTACAGGCACACAGCGTGAGGCCCACGAACATGCTCGCACCGAGGCACTTGCTGGCCGGGCCAAGTAAGCCAAGGATGTGTTTAGTTTGGCCCGCTGTTTTCAATTGGCACGAGGGGTAACTTGTCATCTGACCGCATTCGCCGATGTTTGCTTAGCCTGGACAAAATTATGGCCGAGGGTCAGCAGCTCATTGCCGATGATCACTACGCTGCCGATCAGGTAGTTCGTCGGCTTGAATGCGCTCCTCTCACACGATGCCCTTGGACTCTAGCGTTTTTTTGACTGAATGTTGGGAACCCAACACCAATAGATTGCTGCAGCTCTGGATCATACAGCCACTTTGTATGCTGCCCTTGAAAAGCTGGCCGAAGAGCGCAGTGTGTTCTATGAGCAAAATTGCTTGTTGCAGGAGTTTCTCAAAACGGCCGACCGCATCGATGAGTGGCTAATTCGTCATGACCAACAGCTGACAGAGGCCTCGCGTGGAGAGACGGTTGAGCAGACACAGGAGCTGTTGAATGCCCATGGTAAGCAATTCAAAGGTTCCATAAAGCCAACATCTCACCTCTTGCTTGACTTGCACGCGCGCACAGACCCCTACTCCTCTACTCTCCACTGTTCAATTTTATTCAAAGCTTGCACAACAAGCTCGGTCTGACCCGAGGCTGGTTGGTCCTTTGCAGGAGAGTTTGAGGCCGACCTACGCGCACAGCAGCAGCGGCTGGAGGAACTGGGCCAGAGCGTGGAGCAGGCTCGCAACGAGCAGCACTTTGACATTGACAACATGCAAGCCATTTTGTACGTTTGTTCATCTGCCTAGCGGCTGATTGTGCTTTGTGTTTTAAATGAAATCTCAAGATCCCAGCTGCTTGAGCGCTCGCTTTCACCGCTTGCTTGAAATGCGTTCACTTAGGATGGACATTACCACCAAAAAGGACCATTTGGTTGCTGCTGCCGCCGCCTACCGGGCCAACGTCGTCGAGTCTGGCCAGTATTTTGAACTACAGGAGCAAATCGAGGAGGTTGGGCCGGCCATCCCTCATGAGACAGGGGCCGTCAGGCAGTATCTAGAAAGGCTACGCGACACCGGATCTCACTCGCCTCTATTATGTTAGACAATGGATTTCATTACGGAGCAGATGAAGCAAGCCGCGGCCGAGACATACCGTGACCTACCTTTAGTGGAAGCCCACCAACTCCAGCACCGTGCCAACGGGGTCACGATTGAAGGGTATCGTGAGGCTGTGGCTCAACACTCGGAGCGGGCCGATTCCTTGATCGCGAATGGTCATTTTCGCGGTGAGGACTTACGTGAGCTTTCCGCGCGCCTGCAAGAGCATTGGGCCGAGCTCCTCAAGGCACACGAATGCAAGGGTCGCCGTTTGCAAGAAGCTGAGCACTTGGTCTCTTTTAACAGAGGTGCGTACAACCTGCGACCTCAGCCCGCTCCATTTTGCAAGTTCCAGGCTCTACTCATCGGCACCTGTCATACGGCTTCCCGTTTCTCTTGTCTTCCCGTTTCTCTTTTGTCATCGATCCTTTAGATTTTACCGATTTGGAAACTTGGCTTGACTCACTCGAGCGCTACGTTGCCTTGCCGGACTTGGGCCATGTCCGTTCCGTTCCGTTCATGTCAACAATCCTTTATGTATGACCTGCCAATAGGCTTTGCTCAACGGTTTGTTTGCCACATGTATGCTGGAAAATCATGCAGGACGTTCCGAGTGCCGAGGAATTGGTCAAGGAACACGAGGAGCATGAAAGTGAATTGGCTTCACGTTCAGGCGCCATGCAGGCCCTGCGCCAGCAGGTACGCGGTCTCATGTCTTTGCAGAGTCGGGTGGACCCATCTGACTATGGATTCTCAATGGGATGCTCACTGGATCATGCTCACTGGGACGGGATAGGCCGTCAAATTTGGGGAAGAGGAACACTTTGCTGCGGAAGATTGCCACCAACGGTGTGTAGCGCTGCGTGACTCAACCAACTTTGTCCCCTCTGTTGTATCACAACATGCAGACGAACGATTGGTTCACCAATCGCTTCTCTCGTATTTGCTCGCTCTTCTTGCTTGATCTGATTTGTTCATTTTGTTCTTGTTTTTTGTTTTTTGTTTTTGTTTTTTTGCCCTTTTGCTGTTTTCCTCCTGTGTTGCTCAGGACCAAGCTTCTGGAGGAGCGCATGGAAGACATGCTGGACCCGTTTGTTGCCCGAGGTGAAAACTTATCCGCAAGTCTGGAGCTGCAGCAGTTTCTGCTCGCCGTTCGTCGCCAAGGTTGGTGTTGTCAATGATATCATATGTGAACTTGAAACAAGTTTGGAGCAGATCGACGCCTGTTCCTCAACTCAATTCTCGGCGAATGCCCTGAACGCTGGTTTCTGCACCTGCAGAAGCATGGATTCAACTCAAAGCACCGTTGGTGCACAGCGAGGACTATAGCCAAACACTGCTAACGGCCAAGAGTCAACTGCATCGGTTCAATGTACGCGCAGTGGGGGTGAACTTGATGTCGCTCTCTGTCATGGCTTGTCCTTATGTGGGACCATAAGATCACCATCGTGCAGGCCAATGACGACCGTACTGCATCGCATGACAGGGACTCGAGGCCGAATTACAGACACATGAAAAAAGTATTCAGGATATTCAGGCCCGAGGCACCAAGCTGGCCGAAGAAGGGCACTACGCTGTAGCACAGATTCAAGAACGACAAACGGGCTTGCTCAAGCAGTGGGATCAGCTTTTGTTGGACGCCAAGTTTCGCCATCAGGTATGGGCTCAACAAAGTGCTCAATGGACACGCTCTGTGACAGCCTGCGATGACCCACATTGACATTGCCCAGCACCTGGTTTTAACACGTGTGATGTGCTTAGAAATTGGGCGAAAACCTTGAACTGCAACAGTTCCTGGTGGACCTCCGCCAAACGGAAGCCTCCTTGCAAGGCGTTGCCGAACAGCTTGCCCTGCCTGCCGTAGCACAGACAGTGAAAGAAGCCAAGGTATGTGCCTTCGCTCATGTGTGAGCCCTGCTGCCTCTCGGGGGCCCCGCCAAGGCCTCGGTTTTTGTCTGTAGCAAAGCAGCAAATTTCTTCTCAACCTCACGACTGCACTTGGCACTCATGAAACGCATGGGTCATATGCAGTTGTTGCAAGCACGTCACACGGAGACTGCGCGGCAGTTGGAGTCATTGGAAGCGCCGCTCCAGCATTCCCGGCAATGGCAGTGCGTCGATGCGTGTTCCCCTTGAGACGATCAGCCAAGCCACACACACACACACACACACACACACACACACACACACACAACACACACAGCACTCATATTTGGACCTGTGCCATCATTGATCTAGTGAGCAACTGGCTGCGAAAAGTAGTCTGGGCTGTGAAACCACCGCCAAATTGGTGGCAAGCGCACAGCATCAATTTGATCGTCTACGACAACAAGCCAACGCTCGGAGCGCCGAAATCAGTGATGCTATGAAAGCGCTGTTGTTTGAAGAAGAGGTTTGCCGTTGCCACCAGACAATCTGCCGCTCAGCCGTACCCAGTCCACACAGCCCCTGACCATGCCCGCTTGTTCCGTAGGCCGAGGAGGTTTTGGATTGGATACAAGGCGGGATGGAGGAGGCCGGCTCCACGGAGCTAGGTGAGTGTTTTACAAGTCTGCTGCTGCTTTGTGTGTCCCCATTGCTTGTATTGGAGTCGGCTTACCACCGTTCCAACATAGGAGAGGATGTTGATGCATGTGAGCAGCTTCGCAAAGAGTTTGCTGACTTTGCACAAGAGCAACTCAAGGGTGGATCGCGCGTCGAACGCATCGATCGCAAGGCCAACAAGCTTGCCGGCAATGCCAGCTACTCAAGCGTGAGCGAGCTGAACACTCGTGTTCAGGGCGGATGGGCCAAGCTGCAAGATTTGATTGCAAAACGGTCGGTTTCCTGCCACCAAAGTGAGAGTGGCTAACTCTGTTCATTGTGATACACTCATGGGATATGTGGCTTTGGAAAACGCTTGGTCAACAGCCTGAAGATGTTGGAAAACGCCGCGGCCATGCTTACGGTACGACCAACAGCATTTTGAGGGCATGGTATTTGGCAAACAAAGTTCACCTCTTTTGTTGTGCTGGCTGCGCTCACTCATTTTGTTGCTCGGCAGTTTCATCGCGATGCAGATGATACCATGGATTGGATCGCGGGCAAGGAGCGTGAACTGGATGCAGGTTAGACCTGCTGCGCTTCAATGCACCTCACATAATGACTCCTTGACTCAAGCCTCTGTCAATGTTATTCTCTCGCACGTGGCGCCGGGGGCCACGCACAGGTGACTTGGGCGTAAACACGGGCAGCGTTGCTGTGCTGCAACGTAAGCACGAGGCCCTGGAACGAGATCTGCAAGTTCTTGGCAAGAAGCTTGAGCATCTCTTTGGCGAGGTGAGTAGCTTGCAGTGAGGCGCGGATCGTCGTTGCTCTACCCATAATTTGACACCGTTTCAAAATTTGGGCTGTTCCTCATGGGGCCCCTGCGTGTCAGGCCGGTCGACTGGTAGCCCTTCATCCTAGCCATTCCCAAGCAATTACCAAGAAGCAGGCTGACATGGCCAGGCGCTGGGAGGTGATGCAAGCGACGGCTGAGCAGCGGCGCAGAGCCCTGGAGCTCATGCATGAGTTTTTCAGCTTCAAGGAAAATGCTCAGTACGTTTGCTGCTGCTGCGATCCATCCAGTTTGTGGGCTTTTGTGAGCTTTTTCTCCTTCTTGATCTGATCGCTTCTGATTATTTCTGTACATCGTGGCTTGTGAAAACAGGGAACTCTTGGCTTGGTTTGAGCGCATGCAAAATAACATTGCGCACGTGCAGCCAATCATCGATTTGGCCGGTTTGTTGGCGTTTCTCCCTGCTTTTACTTGCTTACTCGTGTTGAGTGGTGGCACTGATACCGTAAACCTGCGCGTTGACTCGTTGATCCAGATGCCGAGCGACGCTTGCAGGCCCATGTTGAGCTGCGCCTTACTATCGAAGCGCAGCAGGATACGGTGAACCGCATCTTGGACAAAGGCGAGGAGTTACTTGGCATCGAGGCCACTCGGGATGAGAACATCCGTGCGCTGCTAACGGAGGTAGTCTTTTGACTTTGCGTGCATGACTTTGTCGTCTCCGCGCCACTTCTTGCATCTACACAGTTCTGTTGCTCTCTCATGCATTTGCCCACTTAGATTGGTGACGCTCAAGAAAGCCTGTCGGTGACCTGGGATCACTTCAACGAGCTGTATCAAGAAGGTGTTTTTATTCAAGAGTCTGTTCGCGAGGCAACCGAGGTATGTGTTTTTCCCAAACTCCAAGCAGGAAGAACAACAATCACAGCATTATTTGGCTTTACCAGAATATTACTTATGCATCCAGCTGGCTTGACGATTTGGTTACGGCGTGCTTGCATTTGATGGTAGCTTGAAGCTTGGATGGATGAGCAGCAAGCGATGCTTGCCATGGATGCAGGACATAGCGAGCACGAGTAAGCGTGTATCTCATTTCTCCCCTTGCTCGCATTCATTGGAATTCACGCGTCACGAACCCTTCCATTTTGCCTAGATGGAAGGTGTTTGAGGAGTTTCAACAGCGCATGGAAGCACAGGAGGCCAGTGTAAGTGAAGCGCATGGACCGGGCCCGATGGACGCGCCCAAAAGCGTGGCAAGAGTAAATGTGTGGTGCTCAGCCCCTTGGTGTGCGCTGCTGAACAGGTGCAACGCTGGACGTCGGTCATCGATGAAATTGCTGATGAGTTGCAATCAGGCGAAGTTCAGGGCCTGTACCGCCAGCACGGTAGCGATTCCCTCCGTCGTGGATCGGTCTTCACAGTGCGTACATGCCTGTTGCTCAGACACGGGTGGCCAACACGCTGGTTGTGAGGCTGCCTCACCACCTTCTTGCCTTGTTCCTGCTCTTACTGTGTGTGCATGGTCTGTATGTTCGTCTTGCTTTCTTTGCTTTTCATTTTTCGTTTTGTCTTTTTGTGTTTTAGGCAGCAAAGAAGCGCCCGACCATGGATTCGATGACTCGCCGCCGACCCTCAATGATGACTTCTCGTCATGGCTCAGTGGATTTTTCTACCATGCGAGAAGATGCGCGCCAACAGCTGCCGAGTACGTGTTCTGTGATTTGACGTTTTGGAGTGGCACCCACTATGACCCAAGATCACTTGAGCTTTCCTTCGATCATTTGAGCTTTCCTTCCTCGTGTGTTTTGTTTCAGATGGCTCAAACAAGGACGGGAAGATGGCCTCTCCAACGCGACCAGCAGACAGCTTGCCACGAAGCAGCATTGTTGCGGCAGGTCCCCGCTCGCTGGGTGGCCAATCCTCTCTCTCTTCGACTGTGCTGGCTGCTGGACCTGCAGACCCGCCCTCGGCACCTACCCAGGTGCCGAACCTCGAATCAACCAGCAAGCCAGAATCTGCAACAATGCATGGTGCGCAGGTGCCTTCAACGGCACCATTGACTGGCATGATTGAGGAACAAGAAGAAGAGGAAAACGTGGGAGCGCACGACGAGGCGGACGCCTTGTCGGCGGCCCCGCCGCCGCTGCCGGAGAAATCGCCTGCCTCATCGCGTAGCGCATCTCCCTTACCAAAGAATGTACGTGACGAGTACATTATGGTCGACACGGACGGCCCAGCCAACACTGATGCTTTAGAAGAGCCAGCTTCAGACCCTGCACTTGAAGCTGTGTTAGAGTCAATTCCTGATGCAGCGCCCCATGCAGCGTCAAAGCCCAATGTTTCTGTATCCGGCTTTGCGCCAGCCCCTGCCCCTGCAAGTGGCACATCAGCTGCCACGCGCACCTTGCCCGCCGTACGGCGGGGATCAGGCTCAGAAAGCCCGCGCACTGGTCGAGCTCTTCCACAACCTCCAGGGCAAGGCCAGCGCAGCAGCTCTGCCAGCCCACAGACCATGACAGTGAACGCCCTTGCGGCCCCGCCGGTCTCGCTGGCCCGAGATGCAAGCTCGCCCCTCAGCTCGGGCCATGGCGCTGAAGGCCACGAATCATTTGGGGAGGGCGACATGACTGACACCAAGTTCCTGGGCGCCGGCTCCCAGTCCTTACCAACTCAACACCCAACTGCCACAGTCGCCTCGCCTGCCAGCGTACCGCCACCCGCAGTACCTGCACCCCAGAACGAGGAGGATGATGACGATGACGATTGGGATGATCTCATCTAAGCTCGCTCGCGCAACCAGCCTTTCAGCACAAGCGATTGAGTTTCAATTATGACATCCGCACGCAATGTCCCGCCTTCTTCCGCTCGCTGCTATAATTCTTCTGTGCTTCACATGCATGCTCCACAATCAATGTCGTTCGTTACAAAATGGAGCCCTTGGCTCGTGCCAGCCACCCCATATCTACATGTGCTTCATTACGAGAGCCGTGCTGACAATTATTCTTCTCGTTCCCGTTGTAATTTATGCACTTGTTGTCGACGTCTAAGGCACTCTTACGCTAAATATTACCAAGTTGTCGCAGCGTTTTTGGCGGTTATATTGCTTTCACCATCCATGACATCGACACGGCCTTGATCTTGCATCGTAGCACGCAGAGAGCCCTCCCACACGCTCACGTCTTGCCACTGCCCGCCCTCCGTGATACTGCCCAGTGGTCTCGCACCATTTGTTCCTGTTTAACATTTTTCACTGGCAGAGGACGCGGCACGCGTCGTGCAACATCTGCCGATTCTTCGCCGACCCCTCTCTTCTTGCTACTGGGGTGCTGACGTGTGTCCAAGTGAGTCCTGGCTGGAGAACTAAGCGCGCTTGTTTCTTCATTGGGCGCGTTGGACATTATCTACACTGCCTTTGTGGACCGTTCCTCCACTCACCTGCCCTCGGTCACTTTGACGATACCTTGCATACGTGCGCCTCCCCCCCCCCCTCCCCTCCCCCCGAAGAGCTTCAACCCGCGCCCCACGCGAGATCCGAGCGCTTTTTGATTGGCTGGCCGTATTGGCTACCGCAAGCATGGCACCCAGAAAGCATGTCAAGCCTGAGCAACAGGACTCGGATGCCATGTCTAGCTCATCTGAAAACAGTGAGGGTGATAGCCGTGACTCGGACTCTGAGACAGCTCACTGCAAGTGCCCTGACTGCATCGAGAGAGCTTGTAAGCCCCATCCCCCAGCTTTGAATGGCCTGGAATGCAATCGTCTGCTCAGCAGCTGCTTTTTCTTTTGGCACTTGCAATGTAGCTGAGCCTCCAGTGCGCCGCCGTTGGCGTGCCCTACGCCAACTGGTTCAAGAAGGTCGCTCGGACCGCCTACAACGCGAGATTGGCATCTCCATGCGCTATCTGCACGCAGACCACAAAGATGTCACTGAGATTCGCAAGGTACCGCACGCTCACCAGCCGCTTCTTGCTTGATGCGCGCATATTCCCTTACCCCGGTGCCTGGGGATCACAGCTGAAGTTAATGTTCAACCGCCACATTCATTTGAGCATGGGCAAAGTTCTGCCCATTGCGTCCAAGACGGACTTTTTCCTGGCCTTGGCAATGACCGTACGCGACAGCCTCATGGAATCTTGGCTCAAAACCTCGGTGACCTACGCAGAGGTTGATCCGCGTCGTGGCTATTACCTAAGGTGCGTTTCATTGGCCTGCATGAAGTGTCGCAAATCTGAGAGGCGATCGCCAGGCGGGTCTCACCTGGTGTTTGTGTGCGACTCATCAATCAATAAAGTATGGAATATTTGATGGGTCGAACGCTACACAACGCCATCGGCAACTTGGGCTTGAATAAGGAAATTCAAGAAGCCTTGCACCAGGTCTAGCCCTCTTGCCGATTTTATCCTTTCTCTTTCTCTCAAACTCTCTCTCTGTCTTTCTTTCTTTCTCTCTCTGACTTGAGTCGCGCATATGGTCTTGACTCGTGACCAAACCCCCTCCTCTTCTACAGTTGGGCCTGCGCATGGAGGCGCTGCGAGAATGCGAAAGAGATGCTGGCCTGGGCAACGGCGGTTTGGGTCGACTGGCCGCCTGCCTCATGGACTCGTGCGCCACCATGCAAATGCCGGTCACCGGCTATGGCCTCCGCTGTAAGCGCAGATCTAGTTATTGCGGCGAACATGCCTTGTAGGTTGCCCTACTGCAGCTCACAAACCTATCTGCTGGCTATTAGATGAGTATGGCATTTTTCAGCAAGAAATCAACGAGCATGGAGCTCAAGTTGAGCTACCAGATGACTGGCTGGCCAAAGGCAACCCCTGGGAGATTCATCGACCAGACTTTTTGCAACAAGTGCAATTTTACGGTGCGAGGTTTCACAACTACTCATTCAACTAACTCGTTGCAGCTTCGACTTGCTCTGGCCCTTGAACGACCGCCATCTCACTTACATACATACCTAGGCCGAGTGGAGGTGCATGGTGGCCGTCGCGTGTGGGTGGACACCCAAACGCTAGACGCGGTCCCTTACGATGTCCCCGTACCAGGGTGAGGCTGTGCGACCTCGCACTCCATCAATTTGGTAGCCTTAACACACTTCCTGCCGCTGCAAAGACCCCTCTCATCCTGGCGTCGGATTTTAGATATCATAACGCCACCATCAACACGGTGCGGCTTTGGGCAGCCCAAAGCAACTGCAAGTTTCAATTTGACCAGTTTCAAGCGGGCAACTACAGTAAGTCACCACTCGAGGCGGTCATTTGGCGATTACAACAGCAACCTTTGCTGGGACTTGATTTTGTTGGTGTAACACAATTGCAGTTGAAGCCGTGCTCAAGCGCAACCAAGCCGAAAGCCTGTGCCGTTGCCTCTACCCCAACGACGCTCTCATGCGTGGCAAGGAGCTGCGTCTCAAGCAAGAATATCTCCTCGTCTCAGCCAGTCTTCAGGTGTGCCGACGTGTAACGTGTCTTCATTCAAAACACACTTTCGGCTCTCATGTCATCGCCACCGTCGTTTTGCACAGGACATTATTTCTCGCTACAAAGGCGCCGTCTTGCACACATGCGACTCGCACACACGCCGCTGGAACATCCGCCAAAATTTGGACGCACTTCACGAAAAGGTCGGAACGATTGAGTTCGGTTCTCTCATAGTCATGCCTCTGCAAGCGCATCCTCGGGTCACTCTCTGTATGTGGCTTCTCAGGTGGTCATCCAGCTCAACGACACCCACCCAGCCCTAGCCGTCCCGGAGCTGATGCGCCTGTTGTTGGACACGGAAGATATGCCTTGGGACCAAGCTTGGGCCATCACGCAAAAGTGCTGCGCTTACACCAACCACACACTCCTGCCCGAGGCACTGGAGGTTTGTTTCCTTGGCGGACTTGGTTCCCACTTGCGTGCCGTAGGATCTGACGTTCGGTGAGACCTGACGAGTCACGTGTTTGGGCGTAGCGTTGGTCGGTTGAGCTATTGCACCACGTGCTGCCCCGCCACTTGGAAATCATCTACGAGATCAATCAGCGCTTTTTGGATGGGCCAGTGCGTAAAAAGTTTGGGGCAGATGATCATAAGCGTCGCGAACTGAGCATTGTCGAAGAACAGCCCGAACGGGTGGTCAACATGGCCAAGCTCTGTGTGGTGGCCTGCTTTGCCGTGAATGGCGTAGCGGCCATTCACAGTCGCTTGCTTAAATCGGACACCTTTGCTGCGTACATGCCCTTGTTTGAGAGCAAGTTTACCAACAAGACCAATGGAGTGACTCCACGCCGTTGGCTGCTGCATGCCAACCCAGACCTGTCTGACCTCATTTCAAAGCACATTGGCACTGAATGGCCCACGCACTTGGACCAGCTGGAGAAGCTGAACGAATTTGTGGAGGATGAAGCCTTGCTGCGTGAGCTCTTGGCCATCAAGCGGCGCGCCAAAAAGTCTTTTGCCGCTTTTGTAAGTCCAGTGCTCGGGACCAGGAGAAACATAAAAGGAAGCACTTATGTTTGAGGCACAGGCATGAGCCATTAGAGCCTTGGTGCTTTCTCATTTAGCTATTGGACGCATCGTGTTAATGTCACCCTCATGCCAATTCTTCAATAGATCAGGGGCAAGTGGGGCATTGACATTCATCACGGACATCTCTTTGATTTTCAGGTGCGTTGCTTTTTCAGTTTTAAGACGCTTCACTTGGTTTGAGCGCAATGCCTGGCTTGATCGCTTTTGAAGCACCCATTGACCCGGCTTTGCACTTGTCTCTTATTTTTCTCTGTGCTCGACGCTGGCATGGATGATGCGTGGATAGGTCAAACGCATTCATGAGTACAAGCGACAGCTGCTCAACCTTTTGCACGTCATTCATCTGTACCTGACGATCAAGGTGCGTGTACACACCATGCCTGGCGTTGAGCGCGCTGCGATACTGTTCTGGATGAGCGCTCGATTGACATTCGGCGCACGGATCTAGGATGGTGGCTTTGTGGCCAAGCGGGTAGTATTTATTGGGGGCAAGGCGGCACCCGGCTATGCCCGTGCCAAGACCATCATTCAGCTCATTAACAACGTTGCACGCGGTCGGTCTTTTTGTTTTATGGAACACGTCAAACCACACTTCGTTGGGAATGGCCCTGGTGACATTGCCTCACCACGCGGCATCTGCGCTTGAGGTCCACAGTTATCAATGCAGATCCAGACACAAACGATGTGCTCAAGCTCGTATTTTTGCGAAATTACGACGTGACATTGACGGAAAAGCTGCTGCCGGCAGCTGACTTGTGCCAGCAAATCTCCACCGCCGGCAAGGAGGCCAGCGGCACCTCCAATATGAAGGTCAGCTCGCCCCTGCAAGAAGCATGTGACAAGTGGCTGTCCAGAAGAGTTTATCCGTTGGCCTCACACACAACTTGCACATAGTTTCAACTCAACGGTGTGCCGATCGTCGGCACCATTGATGGCGCCAACGTGGAGATTTTGGATCGCGTCGGAGAGGATGCGTTTTTCCGTTTTGGTCATACGGTGGAAGAATTGCAGGAGCTTCGTCACAGGTCGGTCGCTTGATTATGTTTCTTTATCGAGTCGCGATTCGCCCTGTGCTCACATCCACCCGCATTTGTCACGATGGGCTACATGCACGTGATGGCAGCTACAACCCAGCTCAGCTCGTCGAAGAACAGCCCACGCTGCGCCGTGTTTTGCGTCTCATCGAGTCTGGAACATTCCATCCACCGGGCGATGAGGCTGGCGGCCAGGCCTTTGAAGATTTGGCACGTGATTTGCGTGAGCGAGACGAGTACTTTCTGGTCGCCGACTTTGAATCCTACTGTGCCACACAAGCGCGTGTGGCCCAACTGCATGGTGCTGACCCCTTGAAGTGGGCACGCCTGATGCTGCGCAACATTGCTTGTGGCGGTACGCCTCGTTTGCAACCCCTGGTCACGTCCACACAAACCAACATTATGCTCACAACCTGTAAAACTTTGTTGAACTGATGCAGGCTTCTTCTCCTCCGATCGCACGATCCGGGATTACAACAAGGATATCTGGCACCTCCCAACGAACATTGTGCCCCGTGTCCGACTGGAGCAAGCCACTTTCTAAGGGATCAGCTGCCCATAATAACCACCGAGTCTCTTGTTGATATGGCTCACACGCACACACACACACACACACACACACACACACACACACACACACACACGCACACACGAACCATAAAGAATTTCAACACGAAAATAAATTCATCGCCCACACGCTCTTTTTTTGTTGAAAGAACCCAAAAAAAGAGGACTGTCCGCTTAACTCAACACACTCGAGAAAATAATTTTCTCTCAAATTTTTTGACACACACAGACCAAGGGTCGAGTGCGCGCAAGGTTGCGCGAGGGTGCCCGTAGACGGCTTTTCGGACCAGCGACATGCCGCCGCGGCGCAGCCTGCGCGAGCAGCTGCGGGCTGCGGTTTCCAGTCCCATTGATCGTGTTGTCTTCAAGGCCACTGACAACACAGCAGCTCGCCCCAAGCAGAAACATGTTGAACGTACGTCTCGTTGACCTACTCATGAAAAGCCGGAGCAGCCGAGTCGAATCGACTCACCTTTGATCCTACTCCGGCTGGGCTGCTAGATTTGATTCACCTCTCCTATCATGAGCATTTTGATGCCCAGGAATATGTTGCCATCCTGCGCCGCCGCTACGAAGCCCCCACCAGTACCGGGCTCACAATGGCCAAGGCGCTCGCCCTCACCCACAGCCTGATGAATAACTCCTCCCAGGTATAGATCTTCTTGCCGCCGACGAGAGATGAACAGGAGAGACTTGGCATGCTACCATTTGATCATCGTTCGTGCTCTGCACGCAGCCTCACCCGTTGCATCTTGTCCTTGACTTTGATTGGGATCTTTTCAAAAAAAAAAATAGCGCTTGTATCAATGCATGGCGACAGAAGCCCCGCTTTTTCGTGCCCAGCCAGAGCGTACGTCCAAATCGCCGTCCAAGCCAGTCGCACTGCCAAAGCATTTGGCAGTGCGGGATCAAACTTGCCGGGTCTGATCCAATGTGACGACGCACGCACATGCCAATTCAGGTCTGCCCGAGTCTTTCTTGCGCCAGTATGGCGAGTTTCTCGACCAGCGGTGAGTCCCGAGACAATAAAGGCCCAACCACACGACAGACACGCGGCAGAGCTCCGTCCCGCCTCTGATCTGACCCTTGCTTGCCGCATGCACTAACATTGTTCGCCGCATGCACTGGACATCAGCCTGCTCAACTACGTTCGCATGGCGGAAGACCCCTTTCGCAAGTCGACTCGTCTCACGTATGATCCAGCCAGCTTGCGTGGACTTTTATGATGCTCCAACTACGCACCAAACCCCTCGCTCGACACATGTGCTTGTCCTGCCATTGTGTCGCGTGATTCTTGAGGCATACTTTTTGTTGGCAATTCGTCGCTGCATGTCGCGTACTGGTCACATCGATGGACTGCCGGCCGTTGTTTTCTATCAATGCTATTATCCTCATCTCTGCAGGCGGCCCAATTTTGAGGCTGAGATTGAGGATGGGCAGGCTCAGACCTTTCCCTTGTTAACGACGGTGCGTGTGTCTTGCCTCCAGGCTACAACACTGCTCTTCAAAGCATGCTTCAAACAGTGTGGCACATGTTCATGCGCAACCTCGTTGCTCTTTGCAGACCTTGGAGCTTGCCGAGCACCTTGTTGCATGTGAGGTAGGTTTCGCGATCTCAACCATATGCCCCGTCTCCAAGAGGCCTTGATGAGGGTATGTCTCAACCTGTTGTGCGATGACTTGGGGTTTTAGGCTGTCTTTGTGTCCATCAGCTCCGACCTCAACCAGGTTGGTGGTCCACGCTCCACGGCACCCAGCCTTTGCCGCGTCCAAACTCAAGTTGCCGCACGAGAAGAAAGGGCGACTCTTTGCTCCCGTGGCCCAAAGCAATGGCATAGTCATTCGCCCTCATATTGAGTCGCTCGCCGCTTTGCCACTAGTACATTGCCAAAATGTTGCTGCGCGACCTGCGCGAAATCCTGGTCCCCCTGGTAGACATGTACGCCGTTGTGGCAGGTGAGTCGCCTGTTTCCAAGCCCTGACCATGCAGGCCATCTGGACCGCAGGCTTTCCCTTGACCACGAGGTTTGTTTTGCGCAGAACGGTTTTTTCAGCAACCAAAGATGCGGGCGCAAAAGCTATTGGTCCTGTACAAGCGCTTCAGCAGCGTCTGTACGCGCGCGGACGGCTTTCTCGAAGCATGCACGCGTGCGCGTAAGTATTCGTCTCCATGGCACATGACACTTGTCAAACTACGCGCCATTCATCTGCTTCTGTTTTTGTGCAGAACTACTCGCCGGCAGTGGTAACATGGCTCAGCTCGCGGCGGTAGGCAACTGAATACTTGAGCGTGCCAGACTGGCGCAAGGTGGCTTGTTTTCTGGCCAATTTTGCTGGCACTGTTGGGGCTCGGCACGCCAAATCTCACGCGCACGCCTCACGCGCACGCCTCACTCACGTGCGTTCATGCACATCTTAGGGCCCTACCAAATTGCTGTCGCTGATGGAACACCACGTGAGCCAGTACTATCAGCGAGTATCCTCCAGAAAAGGCAACCAGAAGTCGGCCTCGTCGGTGAGCTCTTCTGAGCCCAGTCATTCGGTCACCACTCCGTTCGACGTGGAGCAATTTCAAGACCAAGCAGGCACGTGATGCCCCGGTCAATGCCACAAATTTGGTTGCTCATTTACATCGTCAATTATCGAGACAGTGTCAAGTGGGCAACACCTTGCCACAGGGTCATGACCACACCATTGATTCCCACTTCAAATGCTCACTTGCTTCTTGCTTCTCTCCCACCTCTCGCAACTGTGCAGCCTCGTATCGGCCCTTGCCTAAACAGCAAATCTCCGACCAAAAGGTCGTGCAGGGCTTTACGCCTGCCCAGGACCCCGCACCCAGCATGGCTTTTACCCGCCAGCTCCCCGATTGGGGTGAAAACGAAGAAGAAGCTTAACGCGTCATTTTTTTTTGTCTTTGTCTTCTCAGGCCTGGTTCTGCCACAGAACGAGGCTGCCGTCCCGCGAACCTAAAGCGCAAGACGGGCACATGAGCTTGAGCCGCTGGGCGACACGTGCTGGCTACCTGTCAGCTGCTGCACAAGCCATCTAATTGATTGACAAGGTGATGCACAAAGTCGCCGCAGAACATCATACCAACCTGAGCCAGAAACCACGAGTTCTGCCTCCTCCAACGCCGAGACCCAACAGAGAGTGCGCACGCTATCCGTGTGCACATATAGTTGACGCAGCAGGGCGTGCGTCACGAGGTCAAAGACGTAAACTGATCCATTACGTGCACCGCCCCACATGCACTTGTTTGCGCGGATCAAGGAGGAGAATCCGTTGCATTCGATACGCCAAGAGCCACCGCAGGCCACTCGATCAAATTTCATGCCATCGCGAACCTCGATCAAGCCTAAGACGCGTGAGCCATCACGTTGAACAGATGTGTCATAGACCCCGCCAATCAGAATGAGGAGGGGCGCACGTCAAAGAACATCAAAGGCACGGTGCACCCATCATAACCTTGGGTAGCCGGTGCCTAGCTGGGAGGGCACGAGGCTTACCTGACACCATGCTGTACGTCCACACCTCACGGTTGCCACCGCGCACTACACCTTGATCAGCATCCGTCTGGATGGTTGTCCTGTACCATGACAAAATCAAAAGAAGAAGAAAAATTAGCCATTCATTAAAACCTGCTCAAACGAGTTGGCGAAACTACGCACAAAACAGCATCTTCGGGCAGCGCAGACTGGCGCGCAGGCAATGATGTCCGGGGCACATGCTCGTCCATGGATTGGGCTAGGCAGCACCCCGATACACTTGATGAGTAACCATGACACTACAATCTCATTTGTCTCATCAAGCTCAACATAAACAATGCACCACGTACATTTCCACAACGCGTTCTTGGCACTACTGCTCTCCGACCGCTCGCTCTTGGATGCAGCTACGCAAAGGGCCATTACCAATTAGATCCCAAAAGGTGGACCAGATGCCCTATTTCTGCATGCGCTTACTCAATACTTTGTTGTCCAGCACGACCAACATGCCCTTGCAGGCCACCCTACGAAGATGCATGTGCGTGAGATCAAAGCCGCCCATGCTGCAAGAACATGGGTGGGAGACAAGGCAGGCATACCAAATGCGATCGTGGATCAAGGTGAACGATAGGGTAAACAGAGAGAGGGGTAACGCGATGACTTGATGCTCGTGGGCGTTTCCATCGATGAAACTACAAACGTGAAATGGCACCGTGTGACCCCAACGCCTCGCTGGGTCAACAAGCTCAGCAATGAAGCTCAAGGACGAGAAAGCGTACCGATGAAGCTGGCCTGTGATCATCAGGACCCACACGGAACCCTTGGCCTGCCATGAAGAGTAGATGAGCGAGGTCAGGAGGCCAGGGAAGGATGGGTTGCAAAAGCGACCCAAAACGAGCCCACTAACCGCAAGAATGCGCGTCACCATGTCTCCCATATCCAACTCTTCCAGCACTTTGCAGGAGACGGCATCGATAAGCTGTTACATGACCATGGTGAGATCATGCGCACCCCAAGAGGCCAACTGCACAGCAAAGCCTGCCTCATGCAAACGTACCCGCACATGCCCCAGGCCATTGGCGGCCCAAACTGTTGTCCCATCGACACACATTGCCGAGACACGTGATTGACGGCTCTATGTGTCAGGAAAGCAAATGAGGTTGGAGGAGTTAAGGGACCCCACGCCCGAAAAGAAAGATAAAAGAATAAAGAAACGCGCCCATGTTTGATGTCAGGTGGCCAGGCGCACCTCAATGTGCTCCCACATGGGTAAGCGTTGCTGAAACTTGAGGGTGGGAAGCAAAAACGTGTTGATGCTGCCATTGCCCATTCCACACCACAGCTGCTGGAAGGGATGCAGGATTGCCACCATGCACTCGGTGGTCAGTTTGCCTCCTTGGTCCGTCCTGCATTATCATGGCGACAAGCACAATGAGACTGAAGAAAGATGCTGCAGATTCGAACACAAGCACGACGGTGGCATCGCCGGCATGTCAAAGGTGTTGCCGCCGGCTTCAAAAGGAAAAAAAAAAAAAAAACGTACATGGCCTCCACTTGGCGCACAAAATTATCTCGAACGGGCATGGCTACGCCACCCATCCTGCCCTGACCGTGAGAAAAGCGCAGGAGTTCCTGAGCTGCTGCGTTGGAGCTCAAAAAGTCATTGCTGTCACTGTTGGACCGCGAGCCCTTGATCGGGGTTGCGCTGCGGGAGTGTGAAACCTAAATTTTACTTCGTGAGGGAAGCTACGTACAAAAGTAAATACAGAAAACGGAAGAAAATCAAAGGCAAGACCAACCAGACAAAGGGTCTCCACAAGCGCAATGTTTTGAGCTGCTAGCTGCACCGCTGCCCCGTCCCCGGTCTGAACAGCGTACTGAAACATTGCCAGCATCAAAAGAAGTGAGAATATGGCGCGGGCTTGCACCATGACAATAGCCACACTCGGTTCTGTATATACACGTCACAACCAGAAGGGCACCGCACTAGACCCAACAGCAAATCAAAGTTCTTCAGCTTCGCCAACGCACCGCATTGCCCTCCTTCAGCTCGGTGATGTATCGCAACCAGCTGCCCACCCCCTTGACAAAGCGGATGGTAAAGGACAAGAGTCCAGCTGGCTTGGCCACGGGTTTCGGCTCAACTGCGTTGTGACGTGCCGACTTGTCCGACTTGCTTCGAAGCTGCACCAGGAGATTATCCATCCGGCTTGAACCAGCATTCCGTTGCAACTAGCAGCCCAAACCATCGGTCAATTACCTTCCGAAAGCTACTCGAGCACACACAGATCAAATCCAAATAAACGGACAAGAGCACGTACTGTGTCAATCTGGTCAAGACGGCAAAGTTGGAGGCATTGCGTGGGTTGACGCAAGAACAAAAGATGCCTAAACACGTTTAAACGGAATATGACATGCAATAGTTGAGATGATGAGGAAGGGACCGGAACGGCGTTGAAACATAGTACAAAGCGGAAAGCATTTACCGATGCGTCAAGACCAGGGTGCCCAAGCCTAGATTTTGCACGCGCACAAATGGCTGCGTTTTGATGACGGCTTCACGAGCGGAGAGCTCTACGGTGGGGGGAAGCGCAATCATGGGCAAGTACAGAATGCGCCGCCATTCGGTGTAGAACTGCTGAAAAACTTTAGATGGGATACAATCCGAGTCTACCACACACGTGCATACACATGAGTCTGAGCGTGGATCGCTGCCTCACGACAATGCCCCCCCACTACGCACCATGATCAGATGGCTGCGTGCTCACGAGCGCACGGAAGAGGCTGGCTGAGTTGCTGGTTCGGCAAATGCAGAGCAGTCGCGTTAAAGTCTACAAAGAGCACGTCAGGTGAGCCTGCTATGTGTCGTGGCCGAGGGGATGTATCATGTCTAGTCCTGTATTCGCAGCACGGCGAAAGCTGACTGAGGACAACAAACCTTGAACTCTTCCTCGTTGATAAAATCTTGACCCAACAGGCCATCGATGACGTCTCCTTTGAGATCGACGCGGCTCCCGCTGCTGTCCAGGGATTCTTGCTCCATAAGCTCTGCAAAAGTGGTATGGGCGTCCAGAGTTTTTCGCACATTTTGCATGATGGATTTCCACGACTGCGAACGCTTGACTACGCTGGACGCCTCGAGTGCCAGCACGTGTGCCTAAGGAGTCAGATTCCGGTTGCGCCATGCAAAGGGTGACGTCTCGTGTAGCTACTACGCCTTTCCACCCCCCCCAAAAAAAATGACGCGCACCTCTGGCAACCGAGAAATGGCGTCTGTAATAACATCTGACGGAAAATACATGGGCGCCGTTTTGGCCAGCAGGTCCCAATCCCCAATCGCTTTGAACAAGTCAGCTGCAGAGGAGTCCTTGGGGTGAATGTACAATCCTTATCGACAAATCTTCAGGTGGATCACAGAAAAGCAGCTTACCTCGAAGCAATTTGAAGACTCCACGGAGATACAAGTAGGAAGGCAGCGTTGTTGTGCCTGCGCATGGCCAAGCTCATGTGAGCCACAAACAATGCTGCCCAACCAGAAAACTGGAGCTTTTTGCCTTACCTTTTGCAAGTTCAACGCTGTGGTCGAGGAGGTCGATGACGCCTTGTATGTATTCCTATCCCCGTTGCCAGCCAGCGCACAGAGAGAGAGGGGGAGGGGGAGAGAGAGAGAGAGAGAGAGGAGGAGGAGAGAGAGGAGGAGAGAGAGGAGGAGGAGGAGGGGCGTGAGTAATCGAAAGATGCGCATGGACAAGGTTCTCGCGACATTTATGCCTCTGACAACGGAATGGCGTACTTGGACAAAGGGGCCCAAACACTGAACCTCTCGGGGCCCAGAATCTGAGAGTGAATTGGCACGCATGCTGCGAGAGCAAGGGTCATAGCAAATGTAAACAGGATGCGTGTCGAGTGTTCCCACGACTGACGAAGTGCACACAGATCGGCGTACCGTTTGTCGGTCAAAACTGCTGATACGGGTGATTCTGTCAAATGGCAAGCAAAAATGCGACAGGCGTCGTCGGAAAGCAAGGTTGAGTTGCGGGCGGACGACCGTAGGGTCGGGTGTCAGGATGCCACCCCGACAGCACCAAACAAGAGCACACCAACCTTGCTTGAAAGAGAACATGGATACTTGGGGAGCTGCGTCGATGCGGCGAGCACTTTGAATCTAAGGCGTTGCATTGCACCAAATGTCATGAAACGCAACTCCAAGCAACTGTTCATACGCGCCTGGAAGCGATCTGTTGCTGCTGCTGTACCTGAATGGCAGGACTGGCTTTGATGATGTCAATGCGGCTGTGCTCAGTTCGCTCAAATGCGGGTAACGGCAATGTGACAGGTGATGGCGCTTTGAGCGTGAAGGAAGTACTGGCGCTCTGTAGATCAAAAAAGTCACGCTCCGTACTACCAGTGCCGAGTTGCCATACCATGAGTACAAAAATGCCACCAAATGCCAGCAACGGATTGCGAATGCCACAAGGAGGAAGTAACACAAAAGTCACACGGAGAGGGACGAGGAAAAGCACATCAAAGTTGCATGCATGGCTTGTCGCAAGCCTTTCGACGCCTACCTGTTGCGTCCTTGAAGAAAGACGCTGAAAGAGGACGTATCAAAAGCAGCCTTGTAAAACGGTCGACTCTCCTCTGGGATCATCTATTTGTGGTTTGAAAGGTCCAGGTCAGGAATGAGCCGCTTTTCATGACATCGAGCCAAGTGTGCGTTTGCTTATGGGCATAAGCAAAACGAGCATGGGAAAGCAACTATCGAGACCGAACCTGATAAAAGCGATCCGTGTCCATGACTGGCGTCGAACCCTTGTAGTCAACACAGGTGCGGGTATGACCGAAAAGCGAAATCATGACACGCAAAAAGGCTTCGCGAATGAGATTGTCGCAGTGCCGCTCATGCTGCTTGATTTGCTGTAGGCATCACAGGACGATTCAATGATTGAGAGCTTTCAGACGCCGGGTTGCTGGTCCATAAAAGCACATCACGACTGAAAATCAAAGCTTAACAATGGCTGCTTAACAATGGCTGCTAAACAATTTTTGCTTAAAATTGGGCGCAAAAGGGTTGGGAGGGCGAGTATACCTCTGGATCGCGTCGGCTTTGGAAGATGGGCCGTCCATAGGATGCCAGGACGTGTGACACCTGGATGGCGAGTCACACCGCTTGTCAGTCGGTCTGCAGGGAGCCACAGCGCTTGCAGAAATACCATCATCAATGCTTCAGGCAGCTGTCGTACCTTGAGCTTGTGAAGGTGCAACTCATATTGCAGCACAATGTGAGGTGGGATTTCTGGCAAGTGTTTTGCTGGGCTGTCATGCGTAGCTCCCCAACGGAGAGTGCCAGTGTCCAAGTCGACCACAACCGGCGGAAAAGAAGGGTCGGCCTCGGCAAGTACCTAGTACCGCATATGCAGCATTCATGTCAGCAAAGGCAAAAGAAGCATAACCAAGACAAGCCCGAAAAGGGCCCACGCCATTGCACACTCTTCAAGGGTGTCTGGTGCAAAAGATAAGCAAGAACACACACGTCACAAACATAAAACAAAAAAGAGGCGATTCGCTCTACGCTTACCTGCTCGCGCAAACTTGAGTGCATTCCGGCCAGAAGTGGCCAAGGGATCTGAGTAGAGAATGAGCGAAAAGGCCGTCGAGGCCGCGATAAGATCCATTCTTGGTGAGCTTCTTGGGCGTTGATCAAAACAATGACGCACCTGGACACATTCCTGCAACTGTTCGGGGCAAACTGGAATGTAGGGATGCTGCCATTTGAGGGGATGCATCAATGCCAACATGGACTGCACCATCGATAACGACCAAAACCAGTCGATGTGGTTGGCGGGAGCAATGAGGGGATGCTTTCGTCAGAAAATCACGGTCAATGATGCAGGGACGGCTCAACAGAAAGCATACCTCGAGAAAGGGGGCGAGGAGTGCGATGTTACGGCTGAAGGCAATCACATTTTTCTCAAGAAGAAGACTCTGCACCACCAATAAAATATTGCGCGCGCCCAGGAGCTGGAAAAATGGATACATGACCGTGTCGATCAAGGGAAGGCCCTCTCTTGGTGGCGCTTTGATTGTGATGTAATGGCCTTTAAACAAACCAAAGAAGAATAAGAAGAAGAAAGGGAAAAAAAGAAAAGGAAAGAAAGTCACAAGTAGGGACCGTGAGCGACCAGGGCACGCATCCACCGGCAGAGGGTCGGGATGCATCAGATCGGCAAATGGCTCGCCAGCACCACTCACCAGCAAGGGTAACGCCCAAGTCAACGGGCCCTGCCAGTGGCCGCGGGATCCACCACAAGGGAGTCATCATGTCCAAGAGCTCAAAGAGCGTGCTATCAGACATGGCATTCAGGAAAACAGCATGGTGAGCAACAGAACACGCACATGCGACGTGCACGGGGCAAAATTGGCCAAGAAGCCTTGAATAAAATTCAAAGTCTGGGCTTTGGACACGCATGCAACATCAGGCCGCACAGTTTGCTCGCTCGCATGTGGGGCGCAAGCACTGCAAGGACATCTTGAAAGGCGTCAAGATATGTTGATCGACTAATCAAGCAAAGCGCAGCCGGGATGTAGAGCTCTGTCAAAGTATCTCGTCCCCCCCTGCAACCGGCACGCAATGCAACATGCAGCAAGAGCACATCAGTGGCGCGTCACAGGTGGAATTTTCTTTTAAGCAGTTAAATTTCCATGAGAGAAGACGATGTGGTCGCGCTACCAACTTTTTGCTCGAGTCTGCCGACGAGCGCGAGTCGGTTGGCGCCGTAATGTCGCGGGGGTGTTCAGCCTCCCAGGCCAGTAGAAAGGTGCTGTTTGATTGAAGTTTGCATCGAGGCACGCGCCAGGTACATTTGATGTGTGAGCGGGTTGCGATAGCTGGCGGGAAAGGCTGCTTATTATCGCAATTGCACGCGCACCTGGGGTCGATGCATTGGTGATAGAGCAAGGTCGTGACATGATAACCGCTTTGGGAGATGGCAAAGGTGAAAATTGACATCTGGGACTAAGTGTGGGGCATCAGCAGAGGAGGGAGAGGACAAGGGGGGAGCGGTATATTGAGAGTGCAGTCATGGGCTGGGGTGCATTTGATTGACTAGGGCAGGCGCAGACGTTGCATGATAAACAGCTTACTTCATTGGGCAGATCAGCATAGACGTGTCCTCCCAGAGGAAAACAGAACTCCGAGAGTGTGTTGACCAGAGTGTCGGGCAAGGAGGCTAAGAAAAATTCCTTATCTTCCAAGGAGGCATTTCCGCTGTCTGCTGAATTTGCCAAATACTCGTGGGAGCCATCAAAGAGACTGGCGACGGTGCGATTCGTGGGCTTGGCATGCTACCACACCCAACGCAAGTCATCATGAGCGGAATTTGAGTCCAGACCTGCCGACGGGCAGGGCAACGCTCGGCTGATCTCGTCGACATACGGCATCTAGCGTGGCCAAGACACGAAAATGGTCCATCTTCACGTCAAGGGGATCGAGATTGGCCCCAGTCATCTCTATGATGTGGTAAAAGAGGTGAGCCTGTGCTACGACAGCTTTTACAGCTCCTACAGTGAAGCGAAAAGATCATGGGTGCTGGCTCAACTCGAGCTAGGTGGGGGGCACGAACCACGGCGCTGGCGGAGCGGCTTGAGCACATCCAAGCCAACCAGGGCGGCCCCCTCGATGAGAGGTGCCGCAAAGGGGCCCTTCAGTGCATCGCGCTCAGACATGGTGCCTGTGATAAATGGGCAACCCCGTCAAGTGGACAAAGCCCAAGCACGGGCGCCCAAGGTCGCGTGGGCTCCTGGCGCCCAGCTCGCCTCCTGAGCCAAAATCGCGCACATGCGACGCATTCAGCGAAAGCAAGCAGAAACCAGTGAGGATGAGAGCAGCCTAGACTGGTTCCAGAATCAAACACAAAGGTCTTTCCACACTGTACTCTTCCCCCAATCCAACGACCACCACGCCCGCCACGCCCGCCACGCCCGCCACGCCCGCACCGCCTTGACCCGTTGTACTGGCTCAAGCGAGAATCGAATCGATCATTCGCAAGGCAAGCAAGTGAGTAAGAAAACACCACACACACACACCACACACACACACACACACACAACGTTAAAAAAGTCAGACATACAGACGAACCGTCAACAACAGTGAATTGGTTTGGGGCGTGTGTGCTTGTGTGCGACAAAAGTGTGGGGGGGAGGGGGCGCCTCCTCGCCAACTGAGTGGTACCTTGACCACCATGACTACGATGGTACGGGATCATTACTTCATAGCGGGTGGCTTGATCAAGCTCTTGGACTGTGGTCGCAAACGTGTGGGTTATTATAACAAGACTGGATGTTGTGAAGTCACATGTCAACTGCAGAGGTCAAAGCTCAGGAAGAAGAGCCACGGGACACAAGTCGATAACATGAAACACAAAGTCAAGACGCCAAAGCAAAGACGCCATGGCACAGGGAAAGAGTGATTAAAGGAAAAGGCATTCTAGGCCACCTTGCCTCAGCCCGGTCTCAAGCCTCATGCGCCCGACGAGGGCTCCGTGGTTGGCTGGGCCTGCTCCGCGGAGGCAGACGATGCCTCAGCCGAAGCCTGGTTCACTGGCTGGTTGGGGCCCTGCTGGTTACCAACGGCATTCTCAAACACCTGGGGCAGCAAAACATCGGGAGGACTGCTCAGCTGGCTGAGAATTTGTGCCGCGTCGATAACCGACGGCACTCCGGGCGCAGTCTCCTCAATGACAGGCGGCTTCTCCACCGAGTCCAACATGACGACCGTGACCGTAATGTCGTCGCGGAAGTTGCGAGCCTGACCAGCGGGAATCTCCATGAGCGAGTCGAGCGGCAGCTGAGCCTCTCGTGCATAATTTTCCAAGGCATGATGCACCAGCTTTCCAGCTGCTGAGAGCGCGTCGGCACCGTTGGCCAGAGCCTGGCTGACAGTCTGCACGGCCGCCTCCGGATCGACGACGTCCCAGAGGCCATCGGTGGCCATGATGAGGAAGGCGTTGGCCGGGGCATGGGGGTAAAAAAGCACTTCGGGCCGGGCAGTGACGTAAGGTGGGGTAAGGTAGCCATTGGGCACGCGCACACCCAACTGCTGCATGAGATCACGGGACCACTTGTAGCGGCTGTCACCAAAGGCACGAGCAGGTTGAAGGTTGCCAAGCACGCGTCCACGACGGACGACCGACTCTTCCTCGCCTGGATGCTCCTGTTGCAAGCGCAAAATCTCCGAGGGCGTATCGCCGGTCTGGTCAATGCTCATGATGACGGGGCGGTGGCCGACCCCGCGGCGGACACCCATGACGCAACGGCAATCGCCAGTGTTGGCCACGAAAATGCCGGTTGGGTGGATCAAGGCGTTGACGGAGACCGCACCAGCCAAAGCAGGGTTGACAAAGGCCTCGATCACGTCCGAGTTGCCAGTCTACGACGATGGTGCGACACCGGAATGGTGGCAGGTAAGCGTGATAAGTAAACGGCATAGAACCAAGGGGTGGGTACCATGATGGAATGATGACTGATGGACGAGGATGGCTCAACCTTGACCACAGCAGATAAAGAAACACACGCCAGGTATTGGTGCACATGTGGGGGAGGGAAAGGGGACGCGTACCTTGAGTGCCATGTTGGGTACAGTTTCAGTAAAATCGCGATCAAAGTCCAAGAAGGCTTGTTCCAAGGCCTCACAGATGGTGAGTTCATCCGCGTTGGGAGGCACGTTGGTGAGACTTTTGTTGATGTAGCTGGAGAGGAAGGTCGAAGCAGCATCGGAGGCGGCAAAGCCAGAATGTCCGTCAAACATGCCCACCAGCACACCGTGAGCTCCAAGTGAGTGGGCGCTATGACGATCTTCCATGGGGTCGTTCGCGTTGAGCCAGGCGGTTTGCAGCTATGAAATGGACCCAGGAGAAGGAGACGCCAGAGCATGAGGCATGGCGCGTCAGAATGGGGGGCGTAGGGTGATGACGGCAGCGGTCAACTGACCTCGATGACGCCTTGAAAGTTGACAGGCTTGAGCTCTTGATTCTTGGCGATGAGTGCCCGGAGGGGATCCACGTTGGAGTCACCCCCACGCTTACCCTTGGCTGTTTGTCGCATACGAGCGAGGTCCAAAGCGAATTGTTGAGCGAAGGAATATCACAGTGAGATGGCGTATAGACGGCTGAACATGGGACAGCTGGAAGCGATGCAGGCGGAGCAGGCAGTGGAAGCGGGTGCCGCGGTTCAAGTCACGCACTGTCGACGCGGCGGTTGAGCTCCTCAATGTTAATGCCCTTCTCCTGGCTAATTTGATAGGTGTAGATGCCGACACCCGCCACCACGGTCGTGGCCATGACCACACCAAAGGCCTTCATGGCTGATTGTGCGCCTGCCAAGCGTTGAATGCCGTGGATAAGAAGAGACGAGCGTCGTGCCATCCACTCGCGTGTCCCAAAACGAGGCCGAAAAAAAACAGCGAAACAAGCAAGGGCCAGCGTGCGGGCTTGCATGGGCTTGCACATGCTCAATGAGGAAACAACGCACAAACGCGGGCATCACTCACTGGAGGCAGCAGCTTCTTTGAGGCTTTCGGGTTCTTGTGAAGACATGGTACGCATGCTCGGCGTAACGCGAGGCGAGGCGGGAAGGCGCGAGGTGGCTCGGGCATGGCTGCCGAAAAGCCCCCGGCCAGCGCGAAGGATGGTGCGCGTCCACATCTTGAGGAGTCTCTCTGCACAACAATACGAGGACAAGGCCCCCTGCCCTTTTCACAAGCGTGCTCTGCAGTCACCCGTCAGCCAACCAGCCAATCAGCCGGTCGATTCGTCCACCAATCAGTTCCAAAGCAGTCAGTGACCGCCAACAAGCGCAAACCAGCGCGCGGCACCCACTCAGCAAGTGAGCGCGTTGAACACAAAAAAAAAAAAAAAAGTCAAAAATGTGGAAACAAATTCAAAAAAGGAAGATGTCGAGGCAAGCCACGTTAAAGACGAAACATGTGGCAATGTGACTGGAGTTGTTGTTGTAGTAGTCGAAGAAGAAGAAGAAGAAGAAGAGAGAGAGAGAGAGAGAGAGAGAGAGAGAAGGTTGAAGAAAAGTGTGAAGAAGAATCAAGAGAAAAAATACATGAAGGGAGCGGGATCGTGTGCGTGTGTTTGCCCCGTCCGTCCTTGCTCAGTGGTACTCGGGCGATCATTGCAGGATTTCCATGATCAATTCAATTGGTTTGGTTCGGTGAGAGTGCAGTGCTCTCCGACTGGACGACCATAACCTTCCGAGAAAAGGTGCCAATGGGTCGGGCGGATGTGTTGGGAGCGAGCATATGTGCGCTGAGATTGGGTAGCATGACACGGTGGGGGAAGCCGCGGGACACAAAAGGGCTGCGAGGCAGGTAAGTTTCTAACTCAAGGCGTGTCCTGGGGCCAGTGCTGGCGCAAGAGGCCACTTAGAGGTTGCCACGGGCAGCCTGGTCCTGCTCAATGGCCTGGAACAGAGCCTTGAAGTTACCGGCGCCAAAGCCCTGGTGGTTGTTGCGCTGGATGAACTCAATAAAGACGGTGGGGCGATCCTGCAGGGGCTTGGTGAAAATCTGGAGCAGGTAGCCATTGTCATCGTAATCGACCAGGATCTTGTTGGCGCGGATACGCTCAAAGTCTTCCTTGATGACGACCTTGCTGCTCTTGAGCTGCTCCAGCAGGTTGGTGTAGTACGTCTCCGGGGGGTTCAAAAAGTCGAGACCGCGGGCACGGGCAGCCTCAACGGCGGTGATGACGTCATCGCAACGCAGAGCCAGGTGCTGCACACCAGCACCACCATAGTAGTCGACGTACTCCTGGATCTGCGACTTGCGCAGGCCATTGGCAGGCTCGTTGATGGGCATCTTGATGACCTCATCGTAATCAGTCACCACGACCGAGCTGTATCAATGACACAAAGAAAAAAAAGAAAAAAGTGAGGTCATCACGAGGAGCCAAGCATGGGTGAACAAACAGACATCGGAGGACGAGTCATCATCTGGACCGTTGAGTGAAAAGGGGGCCGGGCGAGGCACGCACCGCAGGGCCGAGTACTCGGTGTGCATTTGCTTGTCATCAACACTCCAGAAGCGGTGGAAGGCCAGGACGTTGGTGTACCAGGTCGCGGCATCTTCCATCTCCTGATCAGGCTGGTTGCCGACGCAGTGGTCAATAACCTCGAGGTTGGGGAAGGGAAGGAGCTTCTGGATGGGATCCTCAGAGACGACGGGCTTGTAGCCGGGCAAAAAGTCCTTGGTGGCATCGCCAGACCAGTTGGTACGCTCCACAAAGGTGTGGGTGGTGTCACCGTAGGTTTGCACCTTGGCGAAAACAACCGTGCCCTTGTCGTCGCTCTCCTCCCAGGGCTCCTGGACGCTCTTGGCGCCCCGCTCGATGGCGCGCTTGTAGATGGCGCGGCAGTCCTCGACGGAGAATGCGACGTCCTTCACACCATCGCCGTGCTTGACCAAATGAGCGCCCATTTCTGATGGAATGGAACAAGAAGAGCAGTCATGGGTGAGAGATGCATATGAGGGGAATCAACATGGAAGAACAGCGCAAGACGGGGAAGGAAACGGCGACCCCCGTCCCAGAGCCACTACATTGACAACCTCGCTGCCTCTCCAAAGCAATATTAATCATCCGAGCAAGTCACCTACCCTCGTTGCCAGGGTTCAGGGCCGACTGGAAGTTGAAGATGATCTATAGATGTCAAAGCATGCAAAAGCACGTGCATCAGTCAAGTAGATAGATGGTAGAGAAGAAGTCTCCAAGTCGATGGATGGTAGAGAAGGAACAGAGCAGGCTGGCAGACAAAAGGGGGAGGCATAGTCAGGGGAAGAGGCAGGCCAAACCTTGTTTTGGCATACAACATGCGACACGACCTCGCGCGAGCCCGTCTCCAGACCCTTGTAGGCGATGGACGAGAAGCCCATGCGCGTGCAGTAATAGTCAGCAGCTGTGCATGATGCCAAGCATGGGGTGTCGTGACATGAGGTGCAAAAAGAAGAAAAGGCGAGCGAAAAGTTCCGGACTGAACAGGGATCAATGCCTGCGCCCACGATCAACCACGGAGCGGGGACCAAACCCGCAAAGTTTGCCCCAGCTCGAGATCGGCAAACTCACCTTGCTTGGCATTGCCGACCCAGAAGGTGCAGTGGTCAAAGCCGAGGTAGCGGCCCTCGGCCGGCTTTTCACCCTTGTCAGCGTATGAAGTCTAGACGACAAGAAAACACACACACACACACACACACACACACACACACACACACACACACAAAGGGCACCAAGCGCGATTCGGGGGGGGGGGGGGGGGGGGGGGGCCAAA